GTGTTATTAAAGTCACCTAATGAAACTGACGAAGAAACAAATGACAAAATGAAATGAAGTTCACATTCATCGATTTATTCCAAATGATCGTTAGACTAAGTAAGGCACAGACTGACCATTATAAGAGTAAAATGATACCCGGGGTCAAACAGCAAAGTTACCACAGCATCACAACCAAGTCAGTAACGGGTAAATCCTCCTCTGTTTGCCAAACAAGCATTGATCCGACGTGGCATACTCCTAATGAGACGTCTAAGGTCATTTTGGTCCAGATTGTCCCATTCCTGTTGCAACGCAGCAGCAAGTTCTTGGACATTGGCAGGACGTTGTTGACGTTGACGTAACCTCTGTCCAAGCATGTCCCAGACATGCTCGATGGGGGAGAGGTCGGGACTCAGTGCTGGCCAAGGTAATGTGGTGATGTTCTGTTGTTGGAGGTAACCTGTAACGATCCTGGCCCTGTGACATCTTGCGTTGTCATCCTGGAAGATGAAACGGCGGCCATGACGTCGTGCGAACGGCACAACATGGACTGCCAAGATGTTGTCCCGGTAGTACTGGCCTGTAACACGCCCTGCAACAACATGTAAATCCGTTCTTCCAGCAACAGTGATGCCTCCCCACACCATAACAGAACCACCCCCAAATCGATCATGTCTGATGACGTTAACGTCTTGGAAGCGCTCGTTTCGACGACGCCACACCCTCCTACGTCTGTCCAAAAAATCAACAGTGAACCTTGACTCATCTGAAAACATCACATTGCTCCAGCGTCGATTATCCCAGTGTTGACGATCCCTACACCAACGACGTCTTGCCTGAATGTGATGATCTCTCAAACAAGGGATCACGCGAGGACGTCGGGCGCGAAGGTGACCCCTATGCAGTCGATTCCGAATCGTCTGGCCACTCACTCTCAAACCAGTGTCTGTTTGAAGACGAGCGCTGATCTGATTTGCTGTGATGACACGATTTCTCAAGGCCAAGGTACGGATAAATCGATCCTGGGCTTGAGTTGTCGCCCTTGGTCGACCTGAGCGTGGTCTGTCCTGTACAGATTGTGTATCACGGTATCTGGACCATAGCCTGCTTCTGACAGACTGAGAAACATTCATCGTCCGCGCCACAACCGCCTGTGTTGTGCCGATCTGTAGCATGCCAAGGGCACGTAACCTTTCATTTTGGGTAAGCTGACACATATCAAAATTTGTTTTCTGGTCACTAAAACAATTAAACTGATGTTTCCACCCTGGAATTCAATGCCACAATGACTGTAACATTCAAAGTCAGAGTCGTGCAAATCTTGGGTTGGACCCCCATGATGATCCCAAGCATCACCTGCATTCCATGCGGTAGCTATTGGTGCGTTTGGGCGTCACATGTAACTGGAAATGTTTCTTCTGTTAGGTTCTATAGTGACTTTTTTCGTAGTCATTTGCATATTTTAGTATTATGCCCCCAAAATCAAATATCCCCTACTTTTTTTGAATAGTATATTTTCGCCAGTCATGTTTGGCCGTTTTGACTGACTTGCAGTGAAATTGACCAACTGGAGAATACTAGTAGATCATAAGGTCTGTCTAAAGTTTAGACAAATATTTGGATTTTAAACTAGATTTATAAGGGGCATTTTAAAGGGGCATTGGCGCCATTGGGTAAGATTAGATAAGAGCTGACAGTTCTCGCTATAATAGTTCAACAATAAATAATAGAAACAGAAAATGCTGAAATTTCAGTCAGATTGCTTTGCTCTGAACCGAGATATAGGTGATTCAGTTTTAGGCTACAGAGCCAATTTTCTGAAAGGTAACCTTTTCTGTGGTTCAAGTATCTGATGTGAGAATCTGGGCCCTGTTTCTCGAAATCTTAACAGTGGGAATGCAGTCGACCCTACTCTTGGAAACGAAGCTAAGCCTCTTCACTAAATGACAGACCTTATTATCCAACACGAATGCATTATCATTTGACTCCACCCCCTCCCCTGCAGTGACACATGAATGTTGTGACCAATAACCACTTTCCTGTCTTAAGGCCTTTGAAAACAGTATTCCTCATTATTAATTTGTCCCAACTAATCATGGTTCATGAATGCGTGTTCTCGATATGTTGACACTTCTACGATGGTGGGTGACTACGAGTCATGAGTGAAATAATCTTATTTCGTTTAATCTGTTATACTAATATAGAGAAAATACAATTTACATTTTATGGATATAACTTTTATGGATATAACTGTTACAACAAATAACACATCTACACAAATTTTTAAGTTGACCTCATTTCAATCAAAGTAAATACATGTACCCGTAAGTATTGTTTATATTCGCGTTACGTTTGGTAGTGGAACCGTGACACTGACATATTGTACATCGTTGACTTCAGGGTTAGGCTTGTTGTCTACCAAAGTTAGGTTAACATCTTCCACTACACTGCAAAGTCAGTAACATCATCAAGCTAACCTTTGCTAAAAGGTTAATGTTAATAACATCCACCAATTAGTCTATACACTAAACACAAGACCTGCAGCATTCAATCTCTGTGATCTGTAAATAATTAATAAAAAAACATATGAACTTACTTCAAATTTACACACTATAACTTATTACATAAACTTTATGTAGATAAGGAAAGTGAATTTTGAGATGCACTCCAATGACAAGTAGTTGATTTACATAAAAATTTACAAAAATAAGAACTGTTAATGAAAATAATAAACTGATTTACCTCAAGATAGATAATTGGAAATATTTTCTATACTTTTCTTCTGAAAAATGAAAGGGCGTAGTTTTATTATAAAACAAGGAACATGTACTACAAAAACATATAATTATTAATGTACCCCCTCGCCAACACGTACATTTGGAATTCATTTAATATAGTTAACTAAAAAAAATGTTAAAATCACAATTAATTATGATACCACAATTACAGGCTGGTAAAATCAACACAAAGTTCATACATTAGATTATAATAACCAGAATCGACTTTAAACTAATGTCTCTCACATATCAATGCCATAACTCTTGCAGTAATCATCAGATCTCGCTGAAAATCAATAGGCGTCTTGTCTCATGACCTTAAACACTGTGTATAAATTTAAAGTCAATTGGATTTTAACTTTAGCCTCTAGAGTGTTCACAAGATTTTTCAAAGTGATCAAGGGCCATAACTCTGGTAGTAATTATCGGTTGCCAATTCAAAACATATTTGTTTTCATTTTCCAACTCTTGTCTTACTCTTTTTGCAATGTAAAAATCACGAAAACGTTTTATTTCTCCCAAAGTGAAATTGCCATATGGCAAATCTATATAAAAGTCTTTGTCATTTTGTATAGACCCAATAATCTGATCCAAATCTTTAATTGGAGGCATGTATTTTGACTCTTCACATCTAGAGAATTTAATATTTGTTATGTTTCGTTTAATAATATAGCTTCTACATATAACAACAGGCAGAATTTTGTTAGGCAATGAGAGATTAATTCTACTAGTACTATTAGTATTTTGTAAAGCCATATTTGAGTACAATGTAACTTGCTCACCTGTTTTAATTTCCTTAGATTATACTGAATACCGTGGCGTACTGGAAAGGTCTTTGAAACCAATTTACGCTGAACAATCTAACACAGTACAGTAGTATAGTATTGTATGGTACCTTCTTCCACCAATCCAAGTGAAAAATCAAAACCACTATTGATGAACACTGAAATAGAAACATAATGTAACTACCCTAAATTCACATATTAGATAGTAAAAGCTTAATTGATTCTATTAGTTAAGTATAATATTTGAAATTAGATCTATAATATATAATTATGATTTTAATAAATCTTAGCTGACAATAACGTGCGGATTTCATTCAGTTTTAAAATTGGTACTATAGGGCCTAGCCAGTATAGCGATTCTGAAGGGAAAATACCGCTTATGACTCATGACGTCACTCAAATATGACAGAAAAGCACTTATTTTGGTGCCATCCCACGCATTGACTGGTATATAGAGGTTTTGATCATTTGAAACTTTGAGTTTGACCTGAAACCCTATTAATTAATAAATAGGTAATATTAATAAAACAATACTACTAGGCCTATTTATTAGTATTTAGAATATATATCATATGTAGGCCTACATACACTGTCATACAGTGCCTTTATTTACAAGTTACATCTGATTTATTAACTGATTATCAGACTTATCCATTTGTGTGTATCTCATTGATCATTCTCAGGCTCAAGTTATACTCCTGACAAGTCCACGAGTCACGATACTGTGACCCCCTGTTGGTTGCTGTTGTACTTACTTGTAGTTAAACTGTCACTACTACAACTTAAGAAGGGGTATAAATAAAATTCTTGAAATGAAGTCGGACTAGGTAGATATCTAGGCCTAATTATAATGTAGACTTGTTTTCATATCGATTACCCGACGCCAAGACCACTTCTACTGTACTAGCACTAATTTCAATGTAGGCTACTTAGTTAGTAGTCTTACCCCAAAAGTTAGAAAAGACTTCGTCAGCAAAAAAAATTATTTACAATCGGTACATCTATGATTAAGATTTGATTTATGCAGTTTTAGTCAAATACTAGCCTACTATAAAGTAACAAACTTCATTTACATTACCCAGGTCAGAAAATCTCCTCAGAAAATAAAAGACAACTGTTTAGTGTTTGTAGCCCAATAAATATAAGAAGCTGACGTCGTTAAAAACAGTGTTAGCCTAAACATCAGAATATTGCGCCAAAAGCAAACCAGTTAAAAATATAATTTGCGGGTCACGGAAAGATAACTCTGTTTGGAAACATGGTTTGGTGTAGAGGAGTAACCGAAGTTGGCCGAGTGAAATCTGCAGCCGGTTGCCGAGTGAAAAATAGAAAGTAACTCATTGAAGATCCAGTATTGTGCCAATTATATAAACATTACTACAACGAACAATTAACGCTAGTCGTAAAATTTGCTGTATGTCGTAATTTCTTTATGCTTGATTGTCCAGAGAAATCCTACCATATAATTGTTGAAACTATATCTTATTTTGTCTGGATAATCAAAGGCAAAAGAAAGCCGGAAAGTGGTCGCTAAAAACGAAAAAGAGGAAAGTCGAAGCTTCAGAGCTGATGACATTGTTTTTATGGTTTTGATTAAAGTAAGGTGATATAATCCAGATTAAGACCTACACGTTTTCTTTTGTTAAATTAGATTAGCATTAATGGTTGTGCATTTCCATTAGTAGCACGGTAAAATATACTGAGCGCCATGGAAAACGCATCACTTAGTTTTTCGTATAACAAAATGATCCTGTAATTGTAATCTGTAATTTTGTAAACATATCATATCTTATTTATTTTGCTTCTTATTGTGAACAATATTCAAATGGGAACACATCAATAACAACACATTTGTACACTTATGGATGTTTAGTCTGTAATCAACGGTACAAAGTCAGAGGGGTCAAAACCAAAAGTACGACACAGATGTCAGTAGCGTGTGTGTCCTCCACGGGCGCTTACGCACACTGTGCAGCGACGTCGCATGGAATTTACCAATGTTTGCAAGAAGGCCTCGGGCAAATTGTTCCATTCTTGGACAAGAGCAGCTTCTAAAGCAGCAATGGTGTGCATCTGTGGTCTCCGATACAGACGGTCTCCGATACAGACGGCGTCCAATCTCATCCCAGACATGTTCTATCGGTGCCGGAGACATGGCTGGCCAGTCCAAGACATTGATGTTGTTAGCAGCCAGGTAGTCCATACTAAAACGGGTGGTATGCGGATGTGCATTATCCTGTTGGAAGTGCTGAAGTTGTGGGTGCGCTCGAAACATCGAAACAACAATTGGTTGCAAGACATCATCACGGTAGGCTACAGCATTAACGCGACCCCTGCAAATGTGTAGGGCGGTCCGGTGATGAAATGTGAAGCCTCCCCACACCATTACACTTTCCCCACCCCATCGATTCGTTTTGAAGACGCAGCAGTCTGCAAGACGTTCCCCAAGACGTTCCCCAAGACGTCTCCACACAATATGTAGACGGCCATCAGCGTGATAAAGATGAAAGCGACTCTCATCACTGAAGAGCACACTTTGTCAATCTACTCTTCTCCATGTCTGGTGTCCTTGAGCCTATATCAAACGCCGTTGATGGTGATGATCCCTGAGGATAGCTCCAACATAAGGTCGTCGTGCACGGAGTCCTACTTCTCTTAGACAACGTCTTACGGTGTTGGCACTTACTGGTCCTTGTCTTCCGACGACTGCTGCACCTGTTCGAGTCGCTGGGCGGAATCTGTCACACAGATGAGTGACCCGGATGTAACGGTCTTGAGCCTGGGTTGTAACGCGTTGTGGACCAGGACGTTGACGGTCACGTGTTGATCCAGTAACTCGAACACGTTCCACCAACCTTACAATAGTGGACTGATGACAATTGAAGTGTCTGGCAATAGCAGTGTAGACATGCCAGCCCTGGACATTCCCATGGCTTCATTGCGTTGATTTTTAGTAAGTCTCGGCATCTCTAACTCGATTCCTTCACACGACCAACAACAAATTACGACAGATTGATGTTTCACAGTTCATGTACTGCACATTAAGTTGAAAACATGCTTTTAAAGGGCTCACACATAATGCTGCACGTGAATATTGGGTTTTTCATGTGCATCTCGTGCAATTTTTTTTTTTTGCACACAGGCCGATATTTTTTACGTTTGGGAGCATTGTGTGAAACAATAGTTCATAGTATTGCATAATATTATACATACAAAACCACCTAGTAATAAAATATTTGGGAAAAAAGAGTGATGCATTTTCCATGGCGCTAAGTATACGTGTGTATAATTAGCTATATAGCGCACATTTCATACACAATCGGTGAATCGCCATCCGGGAAAAGTCGCTGCAGCAAGTGCATTAGCCTTAGGCTAGTTAGTTCCTTTTAGGACTAGGAGAACGGTGTCTGATCGGACTAATGCCTCTCAGGGTCCAATCAGACACTGTTCGTGAATGGGGAGCCACAGTGGCAAAGTGGGTATGACATTCATCGGGATGATTACATGTCATTTCAGCCCCGCGCCATTTTGGATTTACGTCATTTCGGACTTAAATATAGCCTACACTGGCGTCCACGTAAAAGATCCCATGGCAGATGGAATTCGATATAAGAGTAGGCCATAGTGCCGCTGCCCGAGCAACATTTCCCTGCATAGCACACTGTATGGCATATGCCCGTCTTCATTTAGCCCATTTCATTTCCGTTTCGAAAGGAACTATAAGTGCCTGTGAGTCGCCGATACTTTCAGATACACTACTATAACTACATGTAACAGTAACACTAGATCTACGTTTAAAGTTCAGTACTGATTACAGATATGTATCACTACTGACTCAACTGACTGTCATAAATTTAATGTCATTAGAAAATGTAATGCCTTTAATCGTATCGCCATGTCTCGAACATGAAAGGCATAAAACAATGAATGATAAAATTTTTTTTACCAGTATTTAACATCTTAAGATTCAAGATTACCACCCAACCCAACTCACCTCACTATAAAGTCAGGAAAAAATACCTTTTTGTACCCCATGGTTTGATTATCAAATTAAGTTTCTGACATTTTATTCTTCATCATTCCAATGACTGATGAATTACATGTATTCTATAATTTAAAATTATTGTTAGACTATTTGTATTTTGTATTGCATGAATTTATAGAAGAAAATCTTACGCAAATTAGCGTTATGTAAAAAAGAAATGGTCAAGTGTTAAGGTGTGCATGGAATGACGTCAACGCCAGACACACATCTTACTTCAACCACCATCACCACTGCTGTTCCTGCATTATCATCTCCATCTAAAGTAGCAACTCCTATTAACTATGCAGATACAATCAAACAGTTAGAGCAACAAATATCAGTAAGTTTCATTCTTAATTGTATTTGTTACTAGACACTCTTTTAAGATACAATATATTGGGTCCGTTTAAAGAGGCATTTTCACTTTCAATAATAGAATTTATGTGATTAATTCTTAATAATATTGTATTCAAAATGTTTTTGTTGAAAAAACACTAAAAAAAAAAGTATGACTCATGAACTGACAATTAAAATGTTAAGCGACAGCTCTGCATATTTATTGTTTCAAAATTTGTATGATTTAAACAAGCTCGATTTAATCAAGGTCTATCTAATTCATCTTTTGCTATAAATGATGTTATTTAGCCTTTGAACTTTTCTTATAAGTTTTTAGGCAGTGGACCATATACCCAGCAGCAAAAAGAGGAGTTTGATAAATTGAATATTTTATTGGAACGTTCTCGTCAGGAACAACTGAAGGTATTTTGTTTTGTATTGTGTTCATTAATTACATCATGTTCTCAACCGAAGACTTAAGGTTCAATTATGTATGATAAAAATCAGATTGACAGTGAAGATTACTGAAAACAAGAAATTATTTTGTTATTTATTTAATTCTGTTTTGTAGCTTAAAAATTCTGCAATAAAAGTTGATTTTCCACTGATTAATATGTGCATGAGGAGCACACCATCACACAAACTAAAAAACGGAAAAGCAAACACAGCTAGATGCTATGGGTTTTGTGAGTGACTTACATGATGTTGGTCACAGGTAAATTAAATGACCAGTGAAAAATTAAAGGCACAGTATTCCAGACAAAAATACAATAAAGACATTCAGACCATATACAATAAAAAGTAGTCTTATCAAAAACTATCCAAATTGATTAATCCCAACACGGCCATTATTTTCTGTCAATTTCATACGGCCATCTTCTTTTCTCAAAAATTGTTAGTCGATGCCTGAACAATAATTCATTCCTATATCTGAACATCAAGGCCAAAATGGCGTCTAACATATTTAAGTCTTTATTTTCATACGCCCAATTGAAATATGGTTGTATATTGTTGTCATTCGCACCCGTCTGTCGTCCACAATTGCTGTGTATGCTCTGGGTGCTTAAGTTATCACTCAGTTTACTTGAATTTCCCTTGATTCCTTTTAGAAATCTTGTGGGTCGTCTTGTGTCTACAGTTATTATCCAATTGATTTGAAATTTATACCCAGTGTTAATGTTCATCAAAAAAGTCTATTGATTTTGTATAATAAATATTAGCCCTACTAGAAGCCAATTAAATTTTAATTATTTCTTCACAGGTTGTTAGTCTTGATCATTTTTTCATGTGTTGAAATGTCCCCATATGCAAAGGTGATAACCTTAGCTATAACAACTTAACTGGTGTGGATATATGTTTCATCGCATGGCAACCTGTCTTTGCTAAATGTATGTATTGATGGGTGTCCATCCATCCCTAATGGACACAATTTATAAAATAGAATTGTGACTATTTTTTAGGGGTGATAATTTGTGAGTTAGGAATTTATGTAACAAGACTGTTAATTTAATATTTATTTTGTAGATAACCAATCCATTAAAAGCTACTATGGACAGTAATTGTGTATCACCAGGTATTACAGCAATAGCAGGTTTATCTCAGTCATCTCCTATGGCTATGACCAATTCACCTACACCTATAGCTATGTCACCTGTAATCCGTCCTGCTGCACCTTATGTACCATGCCCAGCTATTGGTAGTACAAGTGCAAGTAGTAGCGAAGGTCGTGTTTTAGATAAAAGACGTCTACAAGAATTAGTTAAAGAAGTTGATCCTTTAGAACAGTTAGATGATGATGTTGAAGAGGTAAAACTAGATGTTATTTTTATTCAATAAATGTGTTCTGGGCCAGTGACCTTGATTACACAATCCATCAAATGTCTTGATAATCAAAAGGGCTTCATTTTATTTTAATAAATAAAGTTAGTTTTATTGGTTTTTTTACAGGTTTTATTACAAGTAGCTGATGATTTTATAGAAAATGTAGTTAGTGCTGCATGTCAAATAGCTAAACATAGAAAATCAAATACACTAGAAGTCAAAGATGTTCAGTTGTATTTAGGTAAGTTTAAAACTTTCAGGATACTTCTATAAAGTAATATTGTAATCACAAAGTAACAATTATACTGTATGACTACATGCTACATGTTCTGCACATAATCATCTGTGATCACATGTGCCATATAGAAATGCTTGACGTAATTTCATATACAGAACATGAGACCTGTACTGTATAATATGTAACACTAATTGAACTTTAACAATATTGGTGTCAGCCATTATCACATTATGCATCTCTATCTATCGTAGCAATGATCGCTGTGTTAAAATTATATTTGGAACATGTTTAACCAGTTATTTCACTTATGTAATAACGACTGACACCAATCACTGTAACCCAGGTATCGTTTAATCTTGTGTATCTAACACTAATTTCTTTCACATTCGTTTAATATCAAATCTTTGTTTAAAAATTTGTAAAAACTGTTTAAAATCACCATAAATCGTTTAATTTGTACTTCTGTCCAGTTTAAAGCTGACCATTCAATTTTGATAATGAGTGTCCAATTTACAAGTGTTTAATTTCTCAATCATTGTTAAAAAATAAACAACCCAATTGATTAATGATGTATAATGATTAATTTTTGAACAGTGATCAGGAAATTAAACACTTGTAAATTGGACAATCATTATCAAAATTAACAGTCAGCTTTAAACTGGACACATGTACAAATTAGATGATTTTTGGTGATTTTAAACGATTTTTAAACAAAGATTTGATATTAAACGAATGTGAAAGTAATTAGTGCTAGATACACAAGATTAAACGATACCTGGGTTACAGTGAATATTGTCCTTTAAAAATGTGTATTGATAGTAATATATTTAACACCAAACTAAACTTACCGGTATTTTAATACTAAATTTACAGAAAGAACATGGAATATGTGGTTACCAGGATTTGGTTCTGATGATGTTAGACCTTTCAAGAAAGCTTGTGTTACTGAGGCTCACAAACAGGTAAAATATTTAAAACTATCCACTAGCATTTCTGCTTTCTATAAAAGAATATAGAAATTAGTGTTTGTTACTATACTTAAAGCCATTAAAAACCCAATGCCTACTTCGTGAAATATTTCTGGTAAACGTTTTCTTGTGATGGGTCTCTTTTTGTGGAGTTCTGGGTTTGAACCCAATATCAGTTCTCGGTAATGAACACTTGTCTTTTTTCATGATTTTAAGCAGTCCCATGTCACGTTTTGCACAGATCAAAATTTCAACATTCATCACTTCGGAAAAATGCCACGCCTTACACAAGAAAACAGGAACAGAGCTATTGGCACCCATCGACCATTGCTCGCCTCAGAGAATGCTTTGACGCCACAACGCTTCGACCCCAACCTGGAGCGCCACCTGTAACAACCACTGCTCAAGATCGTCACATCCGACTACAGCATCTTCGCAACAGGTTCCAGTCAGCTACTGCTATTGCCAGGGGACCTGTTGGAACACAACAATGTCAGATCAGTCCTCAAACAGTCCGAAGGCACCTGGCTGATCTTGCGTTACACTGCTGTTGACTTTACCAAGGTCAAATCCTTTTGCATCATCATTGACTTGCCAGACAGCAATGGGTCGCAAATCAGGGGAATCTGCACAACACACCATGGCGAAATGTTATCTTCTCGGATGAATCCCGATTCAACCTCAGTTTTTCTGATGGACGTCACCGTATCTACCAACGTCGACATGAACGCTTTGCTCGTAACTGCGTGCTGGAAAGGGATCGTTTCGGGGGAAGTGGCGTCATGGTTTGAGCCGCTATCAACGTCAACTTCCGGTCCCAGTTGGTGGTGGTCAAAGGCAATCTCAACGCTCAACATTATGTTGGCGCCATCCTTCGTCCGGTGTTGCTTCCATTGCTGGTTTGGGCAGCTATCAACATCAACTTCCGATCCCAGTGTGTGGTGGTCCTAGGCAATCTCAACTCTCAACATTATGTTGACGCCATCCTTCGTCCGGTGTTGCTTCCATTGCTGGCTCAACATGGCGTCCGTCGACAGATGGTTTTCCAGAGACTTTCTGAACAATCATCATGTCCGTGTTATGGATTGGCTTGCTATGTCTTCCAACATGAACCTGATCGAACACCTTTGGGATGAACTTGGACGACTGGTTCGAACTCAAGCCGTGCCACCACGAACTGTTGCAGAGTTGGCACAGGCACTCCAAAATCATTGGCAAACAATCCCACAGCGTGTAGTGAGACATCTGTGCCAGTCCATGCCAAGGTGACTTCAGGCATGTGTAAGAGCTCAGGGTGGACATACCCGATATTGACTTAAGCTGACCCCTGCTTTGTTTCATGGTTCTGTGACGTTTCGGTTTTGTACATTTGTAGTGAATTCTTTTATTAAATTATCCACAGATGCTTATCGCGATTTCGTCAATTGTTATGTACATTTGTTAAAAGGTGTTGCAGTAAATAAACTTTGAATTTGGCATTGCGTTTTTAATGGCCATTAGTTAAAAAAATAATTTACCTCTTTGGTTTTTATGTGTAGGATAAAGCACGAGACTGAGGTTATGCCGAGGTTTTTCTGTCGAGGGTTTTTTCTGAAGTCTTTCTTCCCCAGCATAACCGAAGTCGGGGACTTTATCTTGCTTATAAACCGTCTATGTTTACATGTACACAAGATGAGAATATACCAGAATTCCCGTAAGAAAAACCTTATGTTTTCTTATGGAAAAAAAACCTACCCTGGAAGAATAATCCGGTACAGGTTTAAAGAAAAACTTGCAGAATAATAACCCCAAATTTCCCTGTATATATCCAAAGCCGCCCCTGACTTTCTGACCGCAAGTTATTTCGGGCATAGAATATAGCCCAAAGATCAAAGAGATTTACCGTTACAGGTTTATAAGTAACAGAATTTGAAATCGAATCCTTCATAAGAAAAAGACCTATTCTGTAGTATGAATGCCATAATTGTTTTCAAAGTTGCACATTATGCTATCAATATTGAATAACAATGTAAATTGAATATATTATTTATTTTTAGAGAATGGCATTGATCAGAAAGACATTAAAAAAATATTGAATGAATTTGTGGTGTATTTATCCAGTTGTACAGATTTCTCATTATATCTTCATGTAAAGACTAGTTGTATCACAAATATATATATAAATCATGCAACATATATACTGTACATATTATAATAAATCCATTTATTATCTATACAAAAAAACCTTCTTCTATTGTGTACAGCCACTTTAGCTCAGAGGATAAAGTGTTGACTCACTGAGCTGTGTTGGTCAAGAAAGTTCCTCAGAATCTTTCAGTCTGGTTCCCCCACCCCCTTGTCAGTAGTAGAGTAGGATGAGGAACTGAGTAGTCATTTTGGATTCCAGGTGCACATAAAAGTTCTGTTAACAGAAACACTGCTGTCCACGCATAATTTCCCTCAGTACACTTCTTGGTGTATGTCTGTTTTCATTAGCTCATGGGATGGGACCTCATAGCTTTTATGAATGACAGACACACCCCATCATTACCTTTACTAAGTTCGATGATGAGAATTTTCTGCTTGGGCTTTGGAACATAACTTTGCTTTTAACTGAGGTAGATTTTTTATACGCCCACATTTTCATGAGAAGGTATTTTGTTGTCACCCCTGTCCATCCGTCCACAATTTGTTTGTGGACTCTCTACAGGTCACAATTCTTGTCCGATTTTGACGAAACTTGAAATATAGGTTTATCCCCAAAAGATCTCGGCTGCTTTCGATATTGAAATGTATCGGATCGAAACTTCATGGATTATGGCCCCTGTTTGTACCAAAAATCACGTTTTTAGCTTATGGACCCTATAGAGGTCACAATTTTTATCTGATTTTGTTGAAACTTGAAATGTAAGTTTATAACCCAAAGGTCTTTCGACATTCGTGCATATCGGACTGTAACTTCCTGAATTATGGCCCCTGATTGTACGAAAAATCGCGTTTTTAGCTTGTGGACCCTATAGAGGTCATAATTTTTATCTGATTTAAAAAAACGTATTACTATATCACCGTTACCCCCTAAGGAAGGTTGATGTCGGGTTTCGTGAAAATCGGACCAAAATTGCCGGACAAAATGGCCGCCGTTTGTACGCGAATAGTGTAAAAATATGGTAAATCAAAGTTGTGGACCCTGTAGAGGTCGCAATTTTAATTCGATTTTGATGAAACTTGAAATGCATATTTATAACCTAAAGATCTTGGTTCCTTTCAATATTGTCGCATATCGCATATCGGATCGTAACTTCCTGAATTACATGTATGGCCCCTGATTATACGAAAAATTGCCTTTTTTAGCTTGTGGTCCCTCTGATTTTAAAAAACTGTTTGAATATATCACCGTAACACCATAATAAAGGTTGAGTTCAAATTTCCTGAAAATCAAACCAAAACTGCCGGACAAAATGGCCGCAGCTTGTACGCGAAAGGTGTGGAAATATGGTATATCAAGGTTGTGGGTAGAGGTTACAATTTAATCCGATTTTGATGAAACTTGAAATGCATATTTATAACCCAAAGATCTTGGTTCCTTTCGATATTGGCGCATATCCGATTGTAACTTCATGAATTATGGCCCTTGATAGTAGGAAAAATCACTTTCTTTTTAGCTTGTTCTCTATCCATCTCAAAAATGTGGGCGTATCCTGCCTGGCAGCCGCTGGTTAAACTTGATGTAGATGTTTATTAGGTGAATGTCTTGACTGAGTTTAATGATTGATATTTCGAGCTAAAGCAAAGCAGAGCTAAGCAATTTCATTGATGGATGCTTTAGGACAAGATAACTTTGATGCTACCTGATAGAGAGTGATGAAACTTAGTGTATAGTTGATAATCTGTTTGATTGCTTGATACTTTTGAAAAAAATTAATTTGCGATAAATTAATATGTGTCATTTATTTTGGGATTTTGGCGGGGGACATCAGCCTCACTGTTGGCTTGTTTATTTTAAGTTGGTATATCCTATCCCAGAAGCTAACATGATTTAAATTCAAATATAAGACAAAATACCCCAACACTCAACCAAATTAATCCAGTATAGAAGCTAGTTGGTACCATGTCGAACATGAGGCCCATATTGCAAGGCATATAGATGCCAAGGTGATTTCTATCACCCTGGGGGGTTGGATGGCTGAATGGTTAGCGTGCGCGCACTGAATCATAAAGTCTGTCATTGAGTGGTTTTGAATTCCCGGTTTTATGTGACAAGGAGTAGGGTCGCCTGTCCAACCTCGTGGGGGTCCTCCGGTTTCCTCCCACTGCTAAAGACCCCTATGCACAAGCGAATTATTGAAATAAAATTAAACCATATGTTAGTCCCAAAATGACCTAGTTGTGTCGAGTGGACGTTAAACCCCATTTCTCTCTCTCTCTCTCTCTCTCACCCTGTTCGTGAGCTTGAACTGTCAGATAGGGAATACTTTGGCAAGTGGACTAGGTTTTCTCCAACCCTCATGCATGAAGTTTTAGAACTTGTAGGGCCTTGATTAGAACATGCCCTAACTCATAAGATTTTCATTGGCCCGAAAGGAACGGCTCATGATAACGATACCGTATCTTGATTTCTGGAGATTCGCAAACATCTGTATCATTTGCGTACTGTGTTAGTCAATCAACCGTCTGCAAGATTGTCTTCGAGACATGTGGGGTAATTTGGGAATCCATGGGTCTGGTTTTTGTCCCTGTTCCTACTCAAGGCTTTAAAGTAAGGGCCAGTAATCCGGATTAGAGTACTGATTGGCCCCACAACATACTTACGTCCATCATAAGTATATATACCTACACTGTTTAACGCCGGCTTGAAATGCAGGATGCCGTCTGATGGTGTTTGAAAGTATAAACCTGGCTTTAGTCTTAATATTGTAATAGTAGTCAATTTGATTAAAATGCAGATCTATATTTCGTTTTGTTTTTTATACTTTCGATGGTTGTAATGGAAGGTCATACGAGTGGCTTTTGACCCTATGACATCAGACATTTGATTAGCCAAACAGCGTTGATGTTTCTAGTGGTTTATCCACAGTTCCATAACAGACCCTTTCATTGGCTAATCCCTCACATCATCCATAACGCGGGTTATATAACAACTCTGCCAGATCCTAGAGTAGTAAAGACAAGAAAAACAAAAAAAACGAAACGAAATAGGATCTGTGTTTTAATAAGATTGTAATAGTAGTACAGAACAAGCTGCCAAAATCCCATAATAAATAGATGAGACATATTAATTAATCGCACATTTATTTTTAAAAAAAATATCAAGCAATCAAACTGGTTATCAACTACACACTATGTTTCATCACTCTCTATTAGATAGAATCAAAGTTATCTTGTCCCAAAGCATCAACCAATGAAATTGCTTAACTCTGCTTAGCTTTAGCTTCAAATGTTAATCACTGAACTCAATCAAGACATTCACCTAATGAACATCTTCGTCAAGTTAAAACATTCTACTTCAATTCAAAGTAGAATTGTTATGTTCCAAAGTCTTGACCAATCAAATTGCTTATCGTTCCTAAGCCTAAGCAGAAAATTTTAATCATCGAACTTAGTCAAAGTAATGATATGATGAATCTATACTCAGAGTTTAATCACTCTCACTTAAATATAACCAATGTTATTGTGCCCCAAAGCATCAACCAATCAGATGGCTTATCTCTGCTTACCATAAGCAGACAATGTATATCACCGAACTCCAAGGCATTCACCTAATAAACACCTACATCAAGTTTGAACATTCTAGCTAAATTAGAATGAGAGTTATTGTGTTCCAAAGTCTCGACCAATCAAATTGCTTATCACTCTGCTTACCCTGAGCAGAAAATATTGATTATCGAACTTAGTCAAGGTATTGATGTAATAAAACTATACACCAAATGTCATGACTCTCACTTAATTAGAACTAAAGTTATCATGTCCCAAAGCATTAACCAATCAAATTGCTTATCTCTGCTTACCCTAAGCAGAAAATGCTCATCTTCGAACTCCGTCAAGGTATTGACCCAATAAACACCTACACCAAGTTTAAACATGCTAGCTCTATTAGAAGGAGAGTTATTGTGTCCCAAAAAGTGTGACAGACAGACGGACGGACCCATTTTAATATTCACCTGCTTTCTTCGAAAGGCAGGGAACAAAAAAACAAACATAACAAATTATAGTGCTGTAGTTAAGATAATAATATAATTGCTAATTAAAGTGGCATTATGGAAGATTAGATAAAGAGCTGACAGTCCTCGCTTTAATATTCAAAAATAAATAATGTAAAGAGAATATGCTGAAATTGTCAGTCTAATTATTTCACTCTGAGCCGAGAAAACCTCATTCAAAAACACTGTCGACTCGATTGTCATTGTTAACGCTGTTACGAGAATGAACAAAGTCTTGATTATCCAATTGTACAGTTAATCATGAAAAGCTGTTGAACTATAGATGGAATTCAAATCGTACCCATCATATGGCATTGAGAGTTGATTATGGTCTTATCATGTTAATAAATCTTTAATTAATAGTTTATACAGCATTTAAGGCATAAAGAAAGACCTGCAATAGGCAAATTTAGCTCTAGCGTAATAATGTATGTTTAATCTTTCTATCAAAATATAAATGGATTAAAAACAAGAAAATACACATATATCTATAACAATTAAAACATTAAAAATATATTAGAAGTTAAAAGGAAATAAATATAATAATATAAATTTTTAATAAATGAATGTATTGTATAATCCTCACAGATATATAGATTTTATCACAGACAGGCTTGAGAAGAAATTGTCCTATCAAATAACATAACATTCAAAATATCAACACTTTTAACAGTAACTTTTAAATTCTACTTAATAATCTAACAAAAAATATATAATAATATTACATATCTAAAATATCACAAATTAATATATTAATAATAGCACTTATAAATATGAAAGATAGCTTATAATCATAAATGGAAACAAATGAATGCCACTGAATGTCATTTGAGAGACTGATATATTCCTTGCAAACTGCAATATTGTGAAAGTTGGATCTTCAAAAGAGATGTTGGTCCAAAAATGGTTTGTTCGGTATTTACAAAAATATGGTAAATTGTAAATTTTGCAACATTCATCATTTTCTGCAGATGATTTTAACAAGCAAGAGCTACCTAATCTGATTTAATCCAAATTTTGATATTATCTACCATTAATATTTTGGTTTTGTTTTCTATATTAAAAATCAATTTGGGTGGATTAAGCTGTGAAAATAGATTTTGTCTGAAAAATGCAAATAATGATCAGAAACTTTAATATTTATCAATAAAAGTATATAACGTTAATAACAATTGATAAATAGGAAATACATTATTTTACTATGTCCAAATATGTCATTGCATCAACAATATTAATGATTAGTAACAATTATAAACATATTTCTTTAAAATTAACAAATGATTCCTTGATTCAGATTTAAACATTGTTATCCTGATGTTTAAATGTTTTATTTTGATCAGTGATGGGACAAGACCTGTAGGATTAAATTTTATTTACTAATTCTAGCTTCGTTTTTGGCTTATTTTTATTTAATTAATTTATCAGTGATGATTTATGTGTGCCTTTATGAAATCATTATAATGAATTTGGTCATCAAAGTTTTTATCAAAATAAGATATCATATGAGAAAATTCATCTTCAGATAAATTAACATTAAATTGGCGTAGAATTCTTCGGAAATCATCTGTACAGATGATACCTGTGGACTGTTGGTCTACAGCTCTAAACATACGTCTCATTTCCTTCCAGTATTCAGTAACAGCAGATTTCAGTTGTTGAATAGCAGTAAAATACTGGTTGTTTGTCTCTTCAATTGTAGCCTTAAAATATAAAAGAACAAGGATTAAATTTACATATTGGAATTTTATTCACGTATTCAGTAATTTAACTGTATTTTCTTATTAAATTTGTATCCATTCATCGTGATGTAAATTGTATCTATTCAATGTGATGTAAATTGTATTTATTCAATGTGATGTAAATGGTATCTATTCATTGTGATGTAAATTGTATCTATTCATTGTGATGTTCTTAGTATCTATTCATCACAAAATTGTTGTGTTATATATTACATGTATATGAACAAGAGCAAACAAATTGTGAGATCTAAAACAATAAATGACAATATATACCTCTAGAATTGTTGGCTTTAACTTGGGTCTTTTGAGTGCAATGGAATTATCTCGAGATTTTAGATCCAAAACAAAATGGCGTAGAAAATCAGCATAACAGAAACTCCCATTTTCATGTAAATCATATTTGATCATTAATTTATTAAAATCTTTCGATGATAAATTGACATCATATTGTGACATGACAGCTGAAACATACAGGTAGATACAAACCCATTATTAAAAAAACATACTACAGAAAAACTTCACTCTTGTGTCTATGGGTATTACCCAATACTTAACTTTAGCGAGGAATTCAACAACTCAATTATTTTGAAAAACTTACATTTGAACTGTGATTCATCAATAGTTCCTGTGTTATAATGATCATAAGTTCGACATTGTTTCTGTATATCTTTCCAATGTTTTAACACTATATCCTTTAAACATTGTTCAGCATTATCAGCATTAACCATAGGTGTTGACATTCTAGATCTACATCTTGATGATCTTGTTGAAAGTCGAGATTCATTCTGTAATTATAATTAAAATCACACACTAATTAGCAATACCTGTAGAAATTGTTACCAGAGACAAGATATACCAATATATAATCTATAGTAAATGTGTAGCTATAGACCAGGGTGTCAAACGTTGCCAGCGCAACAAATTTCAACAAACTAATAGGTCAATAATTCTTAGAATTTTTTATTAATGTTTTCGTGTTTAAGTAAAACTTTGACTTCTGTACTGTATGTCATAGATATTTAAGTTGTATGTAATACAAGAGAACGTATTATATAATACAATTCGGAAACCATTAAAAAAAATTACCTAGTCTCAAGGACATTTGACCTTGTTTTTAGAATTTAGTAAAGTTCAAGGACGTTTGGCTTTATCTTGATATTTTTGTATATCTACGGCCCACTTGATGTACAATTTCAGTTCATGTGGCTCCTGAATCGAAATGTGTTTGACACCACTGGTATAGACAGAAGTAATGTATTAAAGACTTACTCTAGATTGAGATTTAAGTGACATGGATGTATGTGATCTAGCTATGGGAATAACCATATTCTGACCAGATTCTGATCTAACAACTGGACTAGACTGATATTCTCCTACTCTATAATCACCATTATACTCTTTTAAAAACTCCACATAGTCTAGATTATCAAACTCATTGATAGGTAAACTCTTCCATAGTATATCAAACTATAATATAACAAACATAATGTCAACAATATTAAATACAATTGTTAAAGTGATTCAATGGCTGTTGGCTGAGTCTGAAACCTACCAAATTCATAGAATTGGAATCGAGGGACACATAATTCAGTGCCATCATAGTTCTGTCAGTCCTCATAACTCATGTGATGTGATGTTTATGTGAATCTAATTAATCATAGTTCCCACTGGGATAATAAAGTATTATCTGATTCTCGTTTTATTTTAAAAAAAAAATAATAAAAAAAATTATACACTCCACGCAACCAATTCATTTTAATGTTTTGGGTAAACCAATATGGTGTCACTGGCTTCAATCGTCATAATGATAAAATGACATCATGCGGTCTCCAGTTCATTAAAGCTTCTTGATAGTAATCCAGCCTTGTGGCTGACATCAATCACAACATAGACCTATAGTTATAATGAGGATAAAATAAGCAGCAACAATACCCCAAAGATAATTATAAATTTGAGTAATGATTTTACCTTTTCATCTGTTAGTTTAAATAACTCTGTATTAATCAAATGTTTGAAATCTTCTTTTGATACTACTCCTATCTTAGCATAATCAATTTCTTCTAATGATCTAGCTACAGTATGAAAATGTGCTGCTACAGATTCCTTTAGTTTGTCTTCTAAATCACTGTCTAGTATATCAGGGTCTACTTGATTCTTGGTAACCAATGAAGATTTTTGTAACATATCCAACCACTGTACTGTATCCTACAGAAAGGAGATATAAAATATTAATTAGATAAGTGTCATAATGGCATAAATGACGGTGCTTAGTGGAACTGTCAACTAAAACCAAGAAGCAAGTACAGACTGATCTGCAACTATGAACAGTACATTTTATTACCAATTTTAGTTTCAGTTTAAAATCCTGAAGCGCTGCGAAAAGAAGATTATTTTTGACTTAAAAACACTTTTACAGTCTTTAGATTCCAGGGAGCTAGCCACAATTATATAGAGAAAATTAAAGGACTACTCTCATAGGTAAGTGAAAATGTTAAAGTGATCATGTAATTTTAGGTATAAAATTAAAGTTCATTGCAAATGTTCATGTCTTGTCTGTATGTTTGTCTTCTTAACGATAATCGGGTTGAGTGGTAGTTATACACTCAGTACACTATATTAATTTTGGAATTTTGAATATTATTCACCATATCTTGATATCCGATTGGACATATTCCTGGTCGGACAATTTAGGATGATTGGAAAATAGCGTCGGACATGTTCGGAATATACGGGCGAAATCCCATCACTGGTCTTCTGGGTTTCTAGTCGGTTATGTGTGGTGCAGTTATTATGGTAGGAAACTTACCTCCTCAACAGATGATGAAAACTGTTTCAAGAAAGCTCGGTATGATATAGTATTATCTGAACTTCTGTTTACTTTATTTACAAAATATAACCATTGCTGATTAGTTAGTTTAAAACAGAACATATCTAATATACGGCGAAAATCTGGTAAAGCTATCAAACCACATCCGTATTTATCAAATGAAGCACATGCCTGTAATCAACAACATAATTCATATAATATTGTACAATATACATGTTCTTACATTCCATTAACATAATTAAACTTTGAAAGTCACTAATATATTAACAGAAAGAGAAAGGGTTTAATGTCCGCTGAACACAAACTAGGTCATTTCAGAACTAACATAGGGTATCTATATTCTAATAACTGCATGGTATCTTTCAATAAACCGGTTTGTGCATAGGTCTTTGCTTTTTAGCAATGGGAAGAAGCCGGAGAACCTTGAAAACCCCACAAGGTTAGGCAGAGGACTCGATACCTTCTTGTCATGTACAAACTTGTCATTAAGACCATAGCACACTAAAACCAGCGGTTGCCAGGCAAAATACGCCCACATTTTGCAAGAGATGGATAGAGAACTAGCTAAAAACAAAAGCAATTTTTCGTACAATCAGGAGCCATAATATTACATACTTTTAAATTATTTGCATACCCGGAGCGGCCATTTTGTCTGGCAGTTTCAATTGGATTTTTAAGAAATTCAAACTCAACCTTCATTGAAGTCTAACGGTAATATATTTAAACGTATTTTAAAATTGAATCCAAAATTTGACTTCTAGAGGGTCCACAAGCTAAAAACGTGATTTTTAGAACAATTAGGGGCCATAATCCACGAAGTTACGTTCCAATATGCGTGATTATCAACAGAAACCGAGATCTTCGTGATATAAACATAAATTTAAAATTTCATCAAAATCGGATTAAAATTGTGACTTCTAGAGGGTCCACAATCTTGATATGACATACTTTTACACTATTTGCGTTCGAGGAGCGGCCATTTTTCAAGAAATTCTAACTCAACGCCTATTATGGTATATTTAAAAGGTTTTTTTTAAATCGTATCAAAATTGTGACCTCTAGAGGGGCCACAAGCTAAAAACTTGATTTTTCGTGCAATCAGGGGCCGTAATCCTGGAAGTTACAGTCCGATATGCCCAAATATCGAGAGGAACCGATATCTTTGGGTTATAAACATATATTTCAAGTTTTCGCAAAATCGAATAAAAATTGTGACCTGTAGAGTGTCTACAAGCTACAATCAGGAGCCATAATCCATGAAGTTACGGTTGGGAGATACACCTATTGTTGTATTCGGATCCTTGGATCCAGGGGTGTTACACATTTATATGTGGGTGAAAATAAAAATCAACCATTCTCCATGTTAGAATTCCAATCTCTATCTTTATTACTTTAAAAGGCAGAAGAACTACAACATAAGGGAGACAACTTGTGTCTGCTTAAACATAAGGTTTCAGACCACAATGATATAGAATATACCACAATATGACATCCCCCCGCGTTAAAACAAAATTCCATAGGAATTTTTGAAAAGAAGAGATATAAATGGAAAAACATTCACACACTATCACACAAAAATAAGAAAAGCTTAAATATACATGAGAATAAAAATGAGGGATGATACGATATGATACCAAAAATGAGAAAGTAGTAAAACAAGAACAATATTGAATGTTAATTAAAACAAAACAAATTATGAAAATTACATGTCATCTATAATATACATAGAAATCCTACGATAACTCCATTTTGAAATGTTCTCTATAAAACAAACTTGATTGAGAAGTATTGCTCCAACCTAATACTATATTATCTCTTTAACTTACAAGTGTATATCAAATTATCCAACTATCAGATACATATAAACAATAATGATCTAATTTTAACTATGAAGAGTCTCATCATAATATAGGAGTGTATGATAAATAGCAAAAATAGGTTTACCTTCAATACAAGCTTAAACACATTGTGTAAGGAACAATTCTAAAAATATTTACTTTGATATTTACGGAGATTACCAGTTACTTGAAGAGTATTTTCATTAATTAACTCATGAGCAATATTACAAAACTCAACATTATGATCTATATTAATCCATTCACAACTTTGTTGTTGTTTTGGGCTAAATTTGACAAGCAATTGAAATTTACCAAATTTAAATCTTGCTCTTTTGATTTCAATAAAATTGTCATCATTCACAACTTCTGTTAAGTAGTTGAGTTGTTCTTCCATTTGAGGAGGTGATAACATAGATAAAGAGGCAATAGTTTGATTAGGTATACATCTATTAATATCAACAGAAGTAGTAAATCTATCATAAGTAATAAACTTATCATTAAATTCAGGTAAATTATAACCATTTTCATCTGTAAACTGATACAAACTATCCTTAGTATTCAATACAGGTGAATCATTGCTAGATACAGATTTACCTAATTGTTTACGTAATTGGTCAATATGTGTTAATCTCTTTACTGGCTCATTAGTTCTTATGAAACAAGGTTTAAGCCGATTAATGGAATAGACATCAGGCAAAACTCTACCATCTAATGTTGCTAAAATGTAATGTGTGCGATCCAAAATCTGGTGGACAATCAAAGGTCCGCACCATTCAGCTTTGATTTTCTTTGACTTAGAGGTTAAAGCTGATGAGGAAGGTTTCAGAACATAAACAAACTGTCCTAATCCATAAACTGGATTTGTACTTAGACTGTGTGAGATACTAACATTTTGACTTAATTGTTTGCGTTTTTGCAAATCTAAAATAGTAGAAGACATAGAATCAAACTTTTGTTTCAAATGTGACAAATAATCCGAATAGGATTTACAAAGACTCTTGTCAAAGTTCCAGTTGAGAGAAGTAAGATTTTTGGGTTCTTTTCCAAAAACGAGCTGATATGGGCTATGATTTCCAAGTTGTGGTGAAACAAATGAATTATATGCATAACAACTGGTAGAAACAAACCTGACCCAATCCGTACCAAATTGATTTAGATTGAATTTGAGAAGGTCAGATACAGATTTAATATGTCTCTCAACCAACAAGCTACCATGGTTTGCAACACTGATTAGTTTGTGATCTATTCCTAATGAAGAACAAAGAATAGATACCAATTTTCCTGTCAAAGAGGATGCTGCATCTGTAATTAATACAGAAGGAGGGCCAAAAATGCAAACGATCTTTTGGATGATAGCCTCACAAATAGTTTCCGCATCAAGAGACTTCAATGGAACACACAGTATAAATCTAGTTATTTCGTCGCATATCACCATTAAATGTTTGAATCCACTGGGTGAAGCTGGCATGGATTTAAAATCTAAGCAAAGTTTATCGAAAGTTCGAAATTCGGTAGGTATTCGTGGATGAAAAATACGAACATCGTCTGACTTCGGTTTAAACTGTTGGCATGGATGGCAGCTGCTAATATAATTAGCTATGGTGTGAAACATCTGTGGAAAATAAAAAAGTTTCCGCATGGTGAGGTAAGTTCTGGTAATACCTTGATGACTGGATAGAATATTATCATGGTAAATACTGATTAAATTAGAACACATCGATTCAGGAATTGCCAACTGGAGACTAAATGTTTCATCCTTATGAATAATAAGACGAAATAATACATTATCATAGAGAATATATTCGTCAGATTTATTCTTAACCGATTTGGCCGCTGCACGGTTGGAAGGAAGTATACCGTGAGATAAATAGTCATAAATGGGTTTAAAATATGGTGATGTCTCTTGTTGTATACGCAGTTGATTGCAATCAATAGGAAGATTGTAATCTCGTATCATTTTTCTCTTGATGATTGAAAGTAATTTATCCAACTCTCGCTGTTTGGGAAAATGAGATTTAACAACCTGTGCAGAATTATGAACAACTGGGCTAGGAGGCATGCACAATTCAATAGGTATTTCAACATTGGGTGTGTCTGAGTCAAGGATTCGGTCAACAAGTCGAGGTTCATTGGGAAAAGTAGAAGGTGGTGCATAAACAGAAGACAAGGGAGTAGACTCTTGCTGAGTTGATTGTTGAATAGTATGAGACTTGTTGCCAGACTTTGATGTAGAGACGGCTTGTCTATCATTGGATCTATCTTCAAAATCACTGGGAAAATTATGAAGAGATTGTTGATTTGCTGAAACTGGAGGATTGGTAAGCATAGATGAAGAAGATAACTTTTGTTTTGAGGAATTAAGATCTGGAATGGGTATGTTCTGTTGTTTTGCCCACTGACGAGTTATAGGTCTTTCTGTTAAAGTAAATGCTGTAGGAACTACTGAATCTATCTCTGAATCATCCTCAAGGGGATTACGAGACAAAAAATCTGCGAGAACTAGCTCCTTTCCCTTTTTGTAACCGATCTTGAAGGAAAAATGGGAGAGTTTTACTAAAAGTTTCTGAAGTCGATTTGTACAAGGTGCACGTTTTGAATCAAATAGATGAATGATGGCTGCATGATCTACGTATGCATCAAATTCTACTCCACGTAATAAATACTGGAAATTGGAAATATTTATGAGTAATCCGAATAACTCTAATTCAGTAACGGAATATCTTTCACAAGCTTTTGGTAAGCGTTTTGAGTAATATCCTAACAGTCGTTCTTGACCTTGAATGACTTGAGTAAGGTAAGATCCTGTTGCAAAGCGAGATGTATCGCTGTAAAGGGTTAAGCGTCCGGTGCCAGAAGGCATATATAGAACGGGTGGCTTTACTAACAAAGATTTTACTTTAGTGAAGGCTGTTTCTTGAGCTTCTGACCATTTGAAAACCGAACGTTTATTGGATATCTTATGTAGAGGTTGCAATATGGATTGCAAACTGGGCAAGAAGTTTGACAAATAATTGACAGCGCCCACAAAACGTCGTACATCTCTGGTTGACCTAGGCCTGGGAAGATTCTGAATGGCTTTACACCTATCTGACAAAGGCTGAATAGTCACTAGGCCTTCTGAACCAAGTTGTATTTTATGACCCATATATGTAACTTCCTGACGAAAAAATGCACATTTACGAGGACAAATTTTTAAACCATGTTGAATAAGGGCCTTAAAAAGAAGATTTAAATGTCGTGTATGAGAATCAGTATCATGACTAAAAACAATTATATCATCATGGTGTGCGATACAGAAATCGTAACTACTTGGAATAGTTGCTAAAACATTATCAACTGTTGATTGAAAAACCGCTGGAGATATACATAATCCTTGTGTTAGTCTCTTAAAATAGTAATGTTTTCCACCAGAGTATGAAGATATGCCTGTGTACTGTTGAGCTTTAAGCGATAAAGGAAGGGAAAAGAAGGCCGACTTAAGATCTAAACAACTAAGAACAGCAGGTGAAGCGTTACCAATTCTCTTCAGAGTGTCTGTCAACAGTGGAAACGGATGATTTAAGCGCTTAATCCGCGAATTTAAATATCTGAAATCTACAACGACTCGCTTTTCATTAGTTCCCTTCTTTGGAAGAATCAAGACAGGTGATGTGTAGGCTTGACTACCAACTGCAAGTATTCCTAACTTCACTAATTTCTGTAACTCTTGATCAACTATACGTTTTTCTTTTTCGGTTTTAGGGTAAGGCCTAATATAAAAAGGTTTGTCATCAGTGACGTCAATATCAACTTGGATATTGGGACATTTTCCGATTTCGCCATTCAAGCTGAATGCTTCTTTATGTTTAGTCAAAAGCTGGTAGAAATTGTCTTTCTGGTTGGCTGTAAGAAGACTTTTGGTAAGGTCAATTGTAGAGCGAAATACAGAGTCTGATGAATGACTGGTGTAATTAGACTCATATTCTGTAGATATATTAATAGAGTCACAAACGAAAATGTCATGTAGTGAAACATGGGATATAGGTCTAGATGATGGAATATGTAATGTCTTGGAAGTTGTATTACATATTGGAATCACAGCACTATTTCTTTTTAGCTTGATAAGAAATGTTGAAGGACAAGCACTTTTAATCTTACTATTACATGTCATTAAAACCTCGCGATTGCGAAAAATACCTGGAATTTTACCATGAACAGTAACATAACGTTGCTGATTGGGTTTGACATAGACTGAATTAGATGTTGAGAATGAAATGTTGGTAGATCGACACTGCAAAACATTGTTATTAAAACTAAGGTTGGCATCCAACTTTGCCAATGTCTCTTGACCAACGATCAAATCAATTCCAACAAGATTGGAAGCAATGTACACTTCAAAAACTAAAGTATGACCTTGAATAACTATCTCAAGTTGTAGCGAATAAGAACAAACTATTAGTTGACCATTAGCCATTCTAAATTTTAGGGATTGTTCTAATTTATGAAGTGGTAAACTACTGAGATATGAAGATGACTCAATAGTAAATGATGAGATTAGTGATCGAGTAGCACCACTATCAAACAAAAGTAAAGCAGAATGTCCATCAGGGAAATTACCTTTACAATAATTACGTTTTGACAATTGTATGTTTAAAGGTTTGGTCTGTGATGATGACATCGGGAATTTATTCGGAGCAATGGAACAAATTCCCTGTATTAAAAATCCTGATTATGTTTGTCAGCCATGTGCCTTTGGCGGACGAAACAAGAGCGCCAAGTATGGTTAGGCTTTCCACAGTAGTCACAGACAATTTGACGATTCCTATGACTTTGAAAAAAATCTTGACGTCTTGGAGAAAATTCTCGGTGATTTGGAGAAAAATCTTGACGACTTGAAGAAAATCGACTGTTATAATATGATCTGTTGTTATGTCTTGAGAAATGAGAATTTCGATTTTGTCTAGGGCTATGAGGTCGAAATTCATTGGTATGGCGTGCCTTAGGACTGATTGAGTGATCGATGCGTCGATTATCATTGGAAGAAGAATGATGAGAAGATGACCGTCTCCGAGGAGAAGAAAAACCTGAAGCAAATTGTCGTGATGGGCGTTCCAGCTCTAGCTTAAGATCAGCTAAATCTTGTTTTAAGTGTGCTATCTCAGTATCCTTGTCATTTTCTGCCGTGAAAAAGGTTACTTCCTTAGTTTTACTGTCACTCTTGTGAATGTCAAAGTAATACTGAGCTTTGAGAGCTATGTCAGAAATAGAAGTCCTGTCATTAATTGACATTGCCACAGCTTGTTGACATAATGATGGCAAAATGGAAACAAACTTGTATCGCAGTTGTGCATCAGCTATGTCCAACTGTCTTCCTAATCTCTGAAGTTCCTCTAAATTTTCAGAGGGCGGTTTAGTTTCGTCATAACAAAATGAAGCGTAATCCTTATGCAAACCAAAGGGCGTCCGATTATCAGAAAATCTCTCAATAAACTGAGTGCGGAGATCTGCCAAGCTTCGGAACACTTTACCTTCTATCCATAGACGTGCTTTGCTTTTTAATGTTTGCCTGAAGAGACCAACCATCACATTAATTCCTGCAACATTGACAGGGTTCTGATCATGATTATGATGTTCTAAATAATCCACGAAAGTCAAATAATGTGCTGTAGCAAGATCCCTACTTAGGATAGACCCATCAAATTTATCAGCATTAAAGGGCTTACCTTGAGCCATTTCAAAGTTGTACAAAATGAACTTATGAAATGCCACAAAATTAATTATGAAACAATATATATACATGTATCAAGCTTACAAAATGTTAGAAAACTAATTACTAAACAATATATCAAATTAACAAAATGGAAATTCAAGTACTGTACACAATAACACATTCACCCAACACAATCATACAATACAATCATACAATATCCTAACAACGATAACCAAGCAGGTAAAAAAACACAAGTCAATAATATTCAATGAATGTCGATAATTGAACAAATGATTTATATAGGAAAATATCGCACAAATGTCACTGCAACTGCATATGCATCAAATCACTGTAGACTGTAGATTTCAAAATGTTACTATTACTATTAAAGACTATTCAGTATGAAGCTAAAAACTGGCATGTTATGTTATAATTGTCACTGGACTGTCTAAGGCTAGAATTAAAAGTCGGTAGGCCTGTACTACATCTACAATAATTGGTCTTCTCTGGGATTATGATCTACACCACACTGCCTGCTCAAGAATACTAAATAATATTACTACATTCACAGTCACATAAAACTGGAAACTGGATCGAAATCATAGTATGAATTGAAAATTAGGTAATGATGATGTAAGTTGAACATAAACATGGTTTAAATTATTCTGTCTTCAAGACTAGGCTCTCCAAAATAATTTCAGACTTTGGATAATTGTAGGCAATGTAGGGCTATCTCAATCTGATCTCATCTGCACAATGAAAATTCTCAAAATTAGAATGATACTAGATTGATTAAAGTTCCATCAGTTGACTAATATCAGTAGAGTTCAAGATATACAGTAAAGTCAAGCAGTATTGCTTAGTCCATTCTAAGAAAGCACATGGAAAGCACATGGCACAGATATGAAAAGCACATGGTACTCTTAAACTGTCACAAAAATCTGATTAAATCCATAGTTTGGTGAAAAACATACAAAATATGAAGCACAATAAGTTTAGGATGTTTTGCATCTCCACCATGTTGTATTCGGATCCTTGGATCCAGGGGTGTTACACATTTATATGTGGGTGAAAATAAAAATCAACCATTCTCCATGTTAGAATTCCAATCTCTATCTTTATTACTTTAAAAGGCAGAAGAACTACAACATAAGGGAGACAACTTGTGTCTGCTTAAACATAAGGTTTCAGACCACAATGATATAGAATATACCACAATATGACACTATATTTCAAGTTTCGTTAAAATCAAATAAAAATTGTGACCTGTAGAGTGTCCACAAACAAATTGTGGACAGACCAGGGGCGTTTTAAGGTTTATCATGGCAGAGGCTATAATATTTTGAGGGCCCTCTTTCGCTGGGGGGGGGGGGGGCTCTGCCCCTGGCCACCAGAGGTTGAGAAATTTTGCAAAATAGAAAACATTTTGGTGCATTCTGACATATCCTCCAGTAACAGTGTATAGAAAACGATTGACTTGGACTCGGGGGCCCTTTCCCTTGGCCAGAGGGGCCCTTTTGTCAGACATGGGGCCCTTTTGTCTGCCTTTAGGGCCCTCCCTAACTAGGGTACATTTTCATTTTTCTCATCGGTTTTAGCATTTTTCCCCCGTTTTATTTTTTCAACTTCTTTGATTTGTTTCGTGAGGAGGCTGGCGCCTCCAGCTATAAAACGCTTCTGAGACGTACAGACAGGGGGGACGACAATATACGTCCACATGAAAATGTGGGCATATAAAAATCCCACCTTTTCTAATGTATATTTTTGGTTAGCAATGTTTTGCCGTAGTTTATCCTCTGCCTGTTGTGGTAGCAGATGAGAATAATTTTCTGTTGCCAAAGTAAATTCTTTCTTTCTTCTTCCATAACTTGATTTTCTTCCTTCTTCAAACGCTCGTAAAAAATCATCATAATTCAGACGACTTTGATTGGTTTGAAGACCCATCCTAAATACATACAGATAATTATTACTTGGAGTTTCTGATAAAAGCAGTTAAGATTATAATTTAACTATATATATCATAATAATAATATATAGTCCAAAAAGATGGATCTTTATTGATTTAAAGCAGAGGTGGCCAACCTTTTACAAACCAAGCACTAATTTATTCACAAACGAATTCAGACATTTAAATCATGTACCCCTATCTACTTCTTGTAAAATTATGTTTATGATAGGTATAATTAGCATTTTTACAGACGATTGCAAAACAAAAGTCCATTTTTCCAAGTTTGATTCATTAAGCATAATAATCTTTAACTGAAAACATATTAATGTGAATGAAGATAAACTTCGCTAAAAAGGTTGTGCACGAAATAATAAAATCGCAAATAATAATGAGTAGGCTTACTACTGTCAAGCCCTGTTTATGTCATCTATGTGTCACTGTCTACTTACATTATCAAATGAGAATGTCGGTTTTATCACACACTATCAGCTTTAAAAGTTTAAAAAGAAATTTCCATCGAAATATTTCAACTAATGAGTGGAAAGTTGCATTGTATATTTATTTTTTCATTTCTAGGATAATTAGGTCATTAATTTGACCTGCAAAACTTAATTTTATCTGAAAATATGATATTTCTAATGAAATTGTTGGCTCAAACTGCCTAGAGAGAGTCTAAAATTAGTTATTAGAAACATACAGAAATAAATCTACTACTGTATTTGGTCCCATGTAAATGTTAAAGCATGTTGCATGGCAACCAACCAAATACTGTTGCACTAATGCACTTGCTGTCTTACAGTAACATGTTACTGTTATTTGTAATGGTACCGTATTAAGAGCGTGTCCACGAGAGCACCATGCAGAAATTGAAAAAAACGATAACCCGGGGGGTCAGCAAATTTCAACCATACTTGGTCTATGGGGACCCCTAGGCGACAGAAGTCACATGATGAAGTGAAAAATTTTTGAACGGACAACTTCCGGTATAACTGGAAATTGTTGTTTTGGGGTAAAAGTTGACATATTTCGACCAATTTGTTACCCTAATTTCAAAACGCTCCTACCCGAAATGTTGTGTCTCTAAATTTTTGATATTGGTCAGGTATGATAGGCCTAGTAGTCGTCTTAAAATCCTGCAGTCGTTTGGGAATGAATGAATCATGTGGAATTTTCTGTGAGTGATCATAAAGTGGTCATTTTACATATGTTTAAAACTATGCTATCCTAAAACGCATGTAGCTGCTTCTTTGCAGGTCTGACATAGAATTGCTTGGTGTGGTTGTGAAGGGCATTTCTCAAAGTAAATGTCAAAAGAAAAAAACTGACCGGAACGCAACCCACTAGAGTGCTGTAATATTCTGAAAATGTGTAAAAACGGTATTTTCCACGAAATTCGTCTTTTCACTGATAATCGACTACTATTTTCAAGAGTTCAAATGACCGTTGATTATGAACATTAGTACTATTTTTTGTTACTTGAACGTTCCTTGTGCCAAATATACTATCTTGGTTAAAAATCATGAAGTTTTTGTGACAAAATCGGACGTTTGCGGTCATCGTAGGAAAGGGGCTTAATTGGTGTATAATTTTGCAGGATCAGGCAACGATTATTCTCATCTGTATTCAGTAGTTAGTAGCACGGAAGTGCATAAATGCAAGGACTGGCATAACAAGCTTTTATATTAGCACAATTTAACCAAAGCAGCACCTTTTCAGCAATGACTAACGATTATCTTCAAATGACTACTGATCATCACCATTACTTGTAATATTTCGTAATTTCAACGTGAATCGTGTCAAATACATCATTTTGTTTAAAATCATAATATTTTTGTGACAAAATCTGACTTTCACGCTTGCTTGATAGCCATAGGGAAGAGTCATAAGTGGTGTGTAATTTTGCAGGGATCAGACCACTGTTAATAAGATCTGTATTCATGAGCAGATCATCGTATAAATTTGACTGACATGACTATCATAAACTTGATATCTTTTAATTTGTACACCTTCTCATGTAAAAAAGAACCATAAGAAGAAACATTCAGAAGTGTTCATGTAGGGACATTTAATGTCTGGTATTGAAATCTCTGAATCATGGTATAGATCACAACAGGATTTATGGCACTCCAGGATAATGTTGTTGACCGCATGTGCCAAACTCCTACATATACCTACGTTCGAGCAGAAGTGCTCACTTATTTAGATTCCTACGTTCGAGTGTAAATGCTCTCTGACCTTCCTTCAAGGTTTTTGGACCACAGAGTACTGTTTTATTTTGTAGTACTGTTTTTGACCTCTTCTCCTTCAGGGATTTCAATATGGAATTATCATAGCCTCCCGATCTGTAATGCCTCTCCATGAAAACGTCCAAATGTTTCCATACAATGATCGGCTCCTAAATACAGATGGGAATAAGCTGGTCTGATTCCTAAAATATGTTTTACCAAAATAACCTATTTGGCACAAGGAACATTGGTAGAAAAGGTGTTGTATAGTCGTCTTGCTGTCACTGGATCATCTACAATCCCCTCGTCCTTAAAATCTGTTACAGGAGCGAACATGTACATCCCTCAGAGACACTTCTTTTACCCAAGTGTTAAAATATGCTTACACTGAATCGTGTATCATATTTCACCTTTCATTATATCATATTTATAGAAGACGATTTGTTCTGTTTAAATTGCATTGGACATTCATGAAACTTGTCCCTGGTCTAACACATAGACTTTAGATCCTAAGGTCTGCCATTGAGTGACGTGGTGTGACAGCATGCCGGTGACATGGTGTGGTGTTGTTTGTCCAACCTCATGGATATTCTCTTTTCCCACAAGTGTATTATTGAAGTAAAATTGTACCATATGTTAGTCCCAAAATGACCTAGTTTGTGTTGAGTGGACCTTAAACCCCATTTCTCTCTTTTAAGTCAAAATCACCCTTTGTGATGATGTCCATAGATACAGTATTGATAGACGGGACATTAAATTTATCCTAATTTTTGGTGTTTTTAATATATTTCTCCTGTTTTTATTATGACTGTTCCGGTCATTTTTATTTTCTATTTTGTTAGTAGGAAGGTTGTTAATTGTGGGTAACATTCAACTTTGGTCCTAGTCCCTGCAAAGAACGAGCTATAGCCTCTTAAACATTGGTTTTCATTAAATTCAATTTTCAGAGAGAGTTGGGTATCCGGCCAGTACAAAGGTATCATTAGCAGTAGAAACTTCAAACACAGTGTGAAGGAGGAACCTGAGTGGTCCCACTAATGCCCAAAATTTTGTCTATCCAAATCAATTATTGTCCGAATAGCAGGTCATTCAAATTTGGATCCAAAATTGCCTATTTTTGGCTTATTTTTCGATTAAAAAATACTTTTCCAATTTTCCAGGTCGGTATCAACTGAATCCATCTAATATTTTGGGGGGATGTATCTGGGTACTAACCCATCTCACAGAAAAAATTTGGTCCAAATCCCTGACCCAAGGGTTATCACCCCCTGCATGGTGCTCTCGCGGACACACTCTTAATATGTATATATATATAAAATGTGCTTTTCTTGAAGTATCTTGAAAGATATATTAATATTGTTTTAGGGAACAATTATATTTTTCATAGTAGTTTTCTAATCATTTGTTTAAGTATTTAGGATTTTGATTGTTGAGGAAATATGCTTTAAACATAAATGAAAGAAGGCAAAATTCATACTGCAGTTTCACCCTCTGTGACAGGTTTTATATACAAGTTACACAAACCTTTCAAGGAGTCGAAAAAATTCATCATCACTTATAAAAAAGTTTAAATCAACAAGAACCTTCTGAATTTCACTAACTGAAAGATATCCTCTCTTCTTGGTGTCATAATTTCTAAAAGCTGCATAAAAATCTTTATATTTATCTCTAATCTTGTCACTAAAAAAAACATAATTAAATATATACTTGCCGTTTTATATCACACATAGCAATTTACAAGATAATAATATGTCAAAGTGATAAATCTTTCATAGCTGGTGTTGCATTTTGGCTAGGTATCTGGTTTGGCATGGTTGCTTGTGCAACCAACGGTTGCCAGGCAAGATATGCTCCCTTTTTGCAAGAGATGGATAGAGAACAAGCTAAAAAAAAAAAAAAACTCTCGAGTGTCCACAAGCTACAATCGTGATTTTTTGTACAATCAGTGGCCATAATCCATAAAGTTACGATCCAATGCATGCCAATATCGAAAGGTACCGAGATCTTTGGGAGATAAACCTATATATCAAGATTCGTCCAAATCTGATAAAAATAGTGACCTGTATAGTGTCCACAAACAAATTGAGGATGGACGGACAGGGTCGACGACAATATACATCCACATGAAAATGTGGGCGTATAAAAATCATCTAATTGTTTCTGTGTTTTTATTTAGAATTGATTTATCATGTTGCTTTCATTCATGAGCTTAATCATTATTATTAGGTCAACAGAGGTACTGTATTTATTGTTATTAGGTCTCTTTTAAAAAAATAATATGGTACCAAGGCAAACAGGAGTACTAGATCAATAACATCACTACAGGAATATGATCCTGCTTCAAAAACCTGTAAACAATTTTAACAGAGTTTGGTTATAATAACATCGACTGAAGGGGAGAGATGAAGGGTCATTTCTGAGAAACATTCGTTGGCAAACTGAGTTTAGTTAATAAATGATCATTTACCGAAGTTGCTGTTCTACATATTCAGCTGTCATATGTAGACCAAGTTCAGCTTGTTTAAGTGTAGCATCTTCATGTTTCATATGTTGATCTAGATTATGATTAACAAGATTTTGACGACTTGCTTCTGTAATTTCCTGACTGATACCATCATCTAAAGGAGTAAACTCTGATGCTCCTAATTTGTCTAAAAAATCTTGATGTGACACAAAGCCTTTACCATCTTCATCATACCTACAGAGAAAAGAACATTGAGTTAGCAAAATACAGTTAAAATGCAAAAATATCCTACCATATTTTTCGGTGTATTAGGCGCATGCATAGATAAGGCACAGGGCGAGTTTGGCAGAGGTGTTTCAGGAAAAAATAAAAGTGGATGGTTTAGGCGCACCCTTCTCCAGCACCTTGTGGAACACGTGCCATACCATTGCAGCTTGACTATACCTAGATTGTAGCCATTTACATCTATCAGTAACATAATACAATAGCATTTATAATACCAGCAAAGAAACAATGATTTGGTGAACTACAAACAACTTCATAAAGCATACGGTGACAAATCGCCGGTAGATAATTAAGGATACCGGTAAATTATAACAATGGATCAATCGGCGAATCTATGTTGCATGAAAACTAGCGGTAACTTGAAACGGCTAATGTAAAATTTACAGCTATGTATAGAAAATACCAACGAACCTTCCATCAAATTTTTAAAAATTATTTATTGAGAATTGCTACAAGACGAACCGCTAAAGAGTACGGTAAGTGTCAGGGGTTGTGAATTTAATTTGGGTGAGTCGAACGTAAGGTGGCTATGAGTTGGGAACTTAGTCACATAAACCAAATGAAGAAGCCAATAGATGGAGTGACGCACATTATCCACAAATTGAGAAAGAATTGGTTGACTATGTCAATGATATACGTCGAGTAGATTTGCTGTTTCGACGACAGGTTAGACTGGAGAGCATCAATATAATATGTCAGTTAAACTGTAATCCCACCCTAATACTGATGACTTATCTTATATTGAGCCAATGAAAATGTTTGTATAAATGCATGCCCCGCCCTATTCATCAACATGACTGATAACACCATCGATCTTGAACGGGGATGTGTTAGAACTGCCGGTAATGGCCAAGAGTATACGGAATAGTAGAAATATATGTTGTAGAAATAGCAAGAAATATTAACGATACGTATGTTATTTTTTTAAACACCATTAAAGTTGAACAGCTATCGGCCGATGGTGTTTGCATTGCCGGTTTATTACAAACAGTATACCGTACACGGAATAGCAGAAAATGTTGACATCTTTTTTATGCACGAAATAACGGAAATATGGGCGATTATTATTGACATTTTTTAACCGTATCTAAAAAGGTTATTGGCAAAATTAAAACATATCTAAAACATTATTCAATTTGAGTGATAATATATCATAATCTTTTAAGGTAGAGTCACCTGGTCGACATGTGTTGATTCTAGGGCAATTATTTCTTGAACTTCCGACTGCGGTGTCGACACGGGAAAAGCCTGGATTTGCTTAACGTTATGTATTAGACGCACCCCTTCTAGAAAATAATATATTTTTTAAAAAAAGTGCGCCTAATACACAGAGAGAGAGAGAGAGAGAGAGAGAGAGAGAGAAATGGTGTTTAAAGTCCACTCGACACAAACTAGGTCATTTCGGGACTAACATATGGTTTAATTTTATTTCAATAATTCGCTTGCGCATAGGGGTCTTTAGCAGTGGGAGGAAACCAGAGGACCCGGAGAAAACCACGAGGTTGGACAGGCGACCCTACTCCTTGTCACGTACAACTGGGGATTCGAAACCACGCCAGTCGACTCAATGACAGACTTTATGATACAGCATGCGCACGCTAACCATTCAGCCATCCAACTGAAAAATATGGTAATTAAAATTGTTTGCTAACAATGAAGTATTTTCCCCTGATTTTTCACAAATGTTAAATTATGATGGTGCTCTTATAATATAGTCCTTACATTTCCCATAATCTGTTAAACTCTTCTTTTGTTATAGATATCATGAACCTATTTAAAGCATTTCTTAATTCATTCTTTTTTAAAACTCCTTTTTTCTTTTTATCAAATCCTAGGAAGGCCTGAAAAAAAAAAAAAAGAGGACAGATCATCAAAATTATGTGTACCTACATTGAACTGTCAGTGCCCCCCCCCCCCCCAACGCTTTACAATCCGTGATTGCTTGTACTAAGTTGTATTATGAAAAGAAGCTGAAAATGATCGAAAGTAATCACACTTTCAATAAAAATGTAAACTTGTTAAATTCACCTTTAGTCTTAGTTACCATGGAGGTCAAAAGGTGAAATTTACCATTTTTGCACTAGGAAGATTTAAAGCAATAAAATGTCAACGTAAAATATAAAAACTAAAGCAAAACCTGATCTAATTAATAATAGGAACATTTAAAATTTATCTTTAATGGGGCTTAGCACCAAACTTTTACTTTGGAAAGTCGAAAATGATCTTTAGAATAATTTGCTACTTAAAGGAGGTAAATCGCTAATATTTGGTCGCAACGCATATAATAATGTAATATGAATGTATATAAACTGATTTACATCCAATTGTTTCCATTTTTACTCTAATTTCAAATCAGTTATGTTCGGCAAAATACGCCAGAAGTCTCAATCAAATGGCTATCTCTAGCGTCTGGTTTTTCCAGTCTACACTGATAGTATTTATTGCGCATGCTCTCCAGATAAGAATATGGCTTCACCGATTGACATGACTTGAGGAATATGTCTAGCCTTGTTCTTTGAGTCCCCTATTACAAATGGTACTGAAATGCATTATGGTATACGATTCGTGTACCAATGGTAAAATGTTTATTTTGTCTTAAATATTGGATATCAGAAGCCCATCTTTTCAAGATACGATAACAACACCAATGTTGATTTAAATTGACAAATAATTTGTGTTTTCGATGTCGAAGATTTTGGATGATATTGAGTTACAGACTTAGCTACTTTAAGATGATTTTCTGACTTCCCATTAACGATTCAAACTTTTTATTCTCTTTGTGATTAAAGTGGAAAATGGTTGGAATGGCATCTGTTTTTTTATTTTTTAACTTGCAGTTTCCAAAATTCACCACACAAGTCCTGTTCATAACCGTTGTCCTTGAAATGGTCGGAAAACATAACCTTGTCGCTGAACTTAAATTTGTCGATGTTATGACCGGTACCAATGTTCTGCAACCAAAGAATTGTTCTGTGTCTTTCCATTGGTCGTTTGTTTGGAATTTTAAAATAGGTATTTATTAGTGTTGAAACTACTATTCGGATATTCGTTAACAGATACAAAATAAGGGTTATCCGAATCATTTTACTATCCGTTTACTATTCGTTACAATATATTCTGACATTCCGTATGCTCTATATTTAGCCATTTTTACGTCTGATTACTTTGAAATTTTCCCCAATGCAATTGATCACGTACGCAGCTCTGAGCATAAATGTCAACATTATGCGTATTATTTAGTGATTATGAGTACTGGTATATGAACTTTTGATGTAATTTTGTTCAAGAATTTCACGTCTCTGAATTATACGAATAGTATTCGGATAGCCAACAAAAGTATTCGGATCACAAATCTCGATCTGTTTTTCAACACTATGATTTATAGGTTTTATTTAAATGACCAAAAGCTGCACATAATTCAGGCTTATCATCTGTAAGGCTAGTGCACTCTGACGTCAACAATTCGCGGACGTAACTAGTAATCTTAGTTTTGATTGGTTGAGAAATATTGATTGACAACAACATGGCCGCTCAATGTAGTGACATTAATTATCATATAGAATAAGCCGTTTTAATCTTTAAAATTTTATATTTTTTTAATTCAAGACAGAAGTCTTTTTAATAGTGTATTTATTATAATATGACTCAGCAAAATAATTTTTCCTTTAAGGAGAGCATTATTCAGATCACCATCTAATACGATGGCTGAATTTTTTCTTATACACTAAGGAACAACCATACCTGAGTTTTAAGAAATGTTATATCAAGAACTCTGTCCTGTATTGCATTCACGAGTTTAAACGTAAATTGGGAGTTAACACAGGACAGACGAAGGGGACAGCACATTAATATTAAATATGAGTGTATAAAATATTAAATACCTTAGCTAAATCAGCCCACTGTCTATGGGCTTTACATTTAAGTTCTTCATGTGCTTCTTCAGCTGTTAATGATCTGGGTGGAATAGCTGTATTATATCTGTACAAATATAGATATTGCACATACATGTTATTTAGTAGACTCTGTCACATCCGACATCAAGCTAATCAACGAAGACCGACACGAGTATTAATCTCACCGATAATTGATTGGTGATTGCTTAGGTCAATCTTTTGTAAGTGAACACTCGACGGATTGTAACAAGACCGTTGATTGATGTTATAATTTGTAATATTCAGAATACGGATTACTCAAAACTTTTTTGGTTGAAGTAATAAGGAAAATGATGACTGATTTCACAGAATGCTGTAGAATTCAGAAGCCAAATGTGACAGAGTCCACTGTACATTGTATTATACCTTATAGGACATAAAAACTAATCATTTAATAGTTTACTAATACTGAATTGTTTATATTATGTCTGGTTACTGAACTGAAATTAAACAACTTAAACGTCCCGATGAGGCAACACTCCTATCTCTGGATTCTGTTTTAAGTAATTTGATTTAAAGCCATAAATTTATATAATACCTTTGTTTATATCAAGAAAATTATTGAAATTAATATTTAGCATAAACATGTAGACTTGATGGGAATATTTTTCTAGTACCGGTAATTTGGCAATACTTGCTGGTGGAGAAATTATGATCATGCCCTGTTTACCTTATTTACATTAGTCATCTTATTCCAAAATAACTTTTCATATACTGAATTTAAACATCACAAATTTCAAATTATATGATTGGCAAATAATAGCCAAATAAAACTAATCTCCCACTGCCACCTTTTGAGCCCTTGGCCTCTATGTCACATTCTATCTTCTATCTGAATAACAAACAGTAGGCTAACCTATGTACTGAAGTCAACCATTTATGACCATCTTGTGTATCTCTTATTTCAAAACGATCCAAAAATTCCTGATAGCTGATTTTAGACTGTTTGTTTATTCCAAGTCTCTGGCACAAATTCTCAAATTCTTCATCTGAGATAACAATCATGAAAGAATCCAGCATTCTACGGAAATTCTTCATAGTTAGAATACCATTATGATCATCATCAAATTTATAGAAAGCCGATCTTAAATCCTGTAAGATAATATAACAATTAGACTAAAGTTAATGTCTACTTTGTCAGGATTTGTAAGATTATAATAACTATCAAGTATATGATATTAATTTAACCAGTTACTTTCAATGAATTTATTTTGAGAATATTCCATTATTTACTTTTAAAGACCCAAAATGCCAGAATAAATGTTCAATGTAGAGTTTAAGACCATATGCAAGCAAGGGTACTTTTACTGTAATTTAAGTTATGGTCATTTTTAGTATACATTTGTTTCTATTGATTTCACACTGTGATTCACAGATAAAGCAATAATAATTCGGCTTTCTTTTTTTGTTTAAGCCAACCCATTCATAAACAAGATGTTTTTAATAACATTTTAATAAGTCTATACATAATAATAGTACATTTTTATTTACTTTTGAGATATATGTGAATAATGTGCCTTAATATTAAATTAAAATTCAATAGTATACTATTACTTACTGTAAAATTGTCTCGAAGCTTAGTTCTTAATTTAGATTCAACATCATGTGCGTTTGATCCAAATTCATCACCTCTAATTGGATTAACATGATGATTACCAGTTCTAACAATATCTTCATATTGACTGTTTCTATTCTCAAAATTACTGATAAAATTTTCATAGGTCATAAAACCTTTATTAAAATCTAACATTGTTACCAGTTCTTCAAACTGATCATCTTTCATTATAAAACCCATATTATGTAACAGCTGAAAAACATATATCCACAGATAAATTGAACCCTTAATCTAGTCACATTCAATTATTGTAACCTCTGTCATAATTTACATTTCCAGAGCAATACTATTGTCTGTTATGTGGAATTTAAGACAAGCTCCATGAATAGCAATCCCCATGTGAGAGAGAAATGAGGTTTAACGTCCACTCAACACAAACCAGGTCATTTTGGAACTAAAATGGTACAATTTTAGTTCAATAATCTGCAATCACATAGTTATCTTTAGAAGTGGGAGGAAACCGGAGGACCCAAAGAAACGTCCATGGTTAGGCAGGCGATCCTACTGCTTGTCACAGGGTCAAGTGTTGTTGTTCTTTTAAAGACAGTAAAACAGGATATAGAAAATAAAATAAAGTATTACCTTTCTAAAGTTTCTCTTTGATATTTTTCCCTTGCCTGTTTTATCATATGTATTAAAGGCATCGTGTAGTAGTATATTATGTTGATTAATCCTATCTGATAATCTAACTATAACTTCTTCAGCAGAATAAAATATAGTTCTTTCTTCAATCCTCTGATTAATCTGTAACTGTCTACAATAATAAAACATAATGACTTATAATTAATCCTTAACAACAATACCATTCAATTTTTTTTTTTTTTTTATAGTTATGTTTTAAAACTCCACTGATTTTCATATGTTTCTTTCCACAGGAATATTCTGTGCTTCACTGAATCTATGAGTGGAGTTACGTATATACTGATAAGGATATGTGACTATGTGTCCATAGAATATAATGGAGTTTAATGTATTGGCTACAAAATACACTGGTCATATTGAGATCAACGTACAAAGTTTTCTTTTTCTATGTTAACATGTACAATGCTAGGGAGGAGAATTTTGCCTCAATAGCAGCATTTGCAACTTCTCTACAAATTCGACTATCAAGCATTCTCCTTCACGTTCTACATGGATAAACTTCAGTTTTTCTTCTCAGCAACACTTTGTCAGTGCTGCAGGCAATATAATACTCTTACCAAGAGTAAACCAGACTTGCAAAAATCCAAATATTGTTGTTGGCTCGGGCCATGCAATAGATGTAATAATATTATAAATACCTGTTGATATGATCTGTTAATCGTTGATGTTCTGATAGTTGATTACCTGCGTAGATTTGAGAACTCAAACCATCTAGATCACCTGGTGACACAGTTACATTTAATCGTTCTATAAATTCTATATAACTAACTCTACCATCAGCTAATCTCTTCTCACATTCATTCAATAAACTATTAATAAAGAAAATATTATCAATCAACCCAGAACCACAAGAGATATATTAAGCATGAGATTAAATGAAGCTAAAGTTTCACAACCAAGGGTCATAACTCCTTGAAAATAAATTATTTCTTGGTACATTAGACAACCTGCATAAACTTCAAAAAGATCAGATGACTTATACATCTGCTAGCTAAAAATGTAAAATGATTTTGTAACCAATCAAAAAAGTTATTAACTTACTGTTGAAAATGATCTTGTGAGACAGGTAGAACATATTTATCTATAACGCTCTTTAAATTAGCAGGTGTAATATAACCTTCATCTAGATAATCATGATATACTAGAGCTTCAGAAATATTCTTCCAATTTTCATTGATTTTCTCACGTAATATATCTTCTACCTATACATATAATACAATACACTTATATATATACTTTATTTCTACTCATACACCCAGCTTGTGGGATCCTTCTTCACTCTCGTTGCAATGTTGATTCAGGTTTCAATATTGGCATTCAAATTTGTCCAGAAAGAAAATATTCATAAGATTGGTAACTCTTTATGCACATGCTGAAAATTCATATTGGTAACTCTTTTTGCACATGCTAAAAATTCATAACATTGGGAATTGGTCAATCATAACATTAATTGTTATATGCTTTTATTAATTGTTGATAGTTATAAGAATACATTAATTTGAATGACAGACAAATAAAACTGTGTAAGATGTTTACTCTCAATTTAATATTATAGAAAGAAATTAACATGAACTTACTGTTTCCCACGGCATTATAATAGGTTTCTGTTTTTCATTAAACCTATGTACAGAATTTAACCATTTATGACCTTCCTGAAATAACAAACATTTCAATTAAATATTGATTAGATGAATTAAATATGATGCCAAACATTATTGGCTACTGGCTGAGAGTACATGTCAACTGATCATACACTGATCATTTGATAGTTTGATGTTTTTGCTATTTGGATATTTGAAGTCAATGTCTAAATATTGCATGTTATTATTTGAATATTATAAGTGAATATTATATGTCATTATTTGAATATTACAAGTCATTATTTGAATATTGTAAGTCATTATTTGAATATTGTACGTCATTACTTGAATATAACAAGTCATTATTTCAATATTGTAAGTCATTATTTCAATATTGTAAGTCATTATTTCAATTAGGGCTGCAACAATATATTGCGGTATACATGCTACAGTTCGGTTCATGGTACTTTAAATCCATACTGTGAATCCATTCAGTACACACGGTGCGTTAGACAGCATACCGCGGTATACACGCCACAGTTCGGTTGTGAACTTTAAAATTCTGTACCGCTGTTGTTCATGTGACAATGAGGAAAATGGCTTCCGGCAGTGTACCGCCGAAGTTATATTCCCCTCCACATAATCCCAAATCTCGCATATTGAAACATTCTGGATTTTAAGATGAATAGGCAGTGACTAACGATGTAACAAAGTGTCGCCATCGTTCTGCCGATGTTTCCTATAAAGATGGGAACACATCAAACATGGCGACACATGTAAAATGCCACCATCCACAAATCTCGTAAGAAAATCCCCCCCCCCCCTACAAAAAAAACAAAACAAATGCGCATGCAAGATGTGATAAATATTAAACTACCCTGCAATTCTCCCCGATCTCTTAGTATCTCAAGAGTAATTGGGAAATTTATTGCCAGAAAACATCAATTTGAATAAATATGAATTGTTTATTAACTAGCCTAATAATTATTTAAAGACAATTTAAATAACATGTACTTGTTTTATTCTTTATGTAAATTTGGAAAGACAAAAATATCGCGATACGTATCGTATCGTGAGATCTATACCATGATACGTATCGTTTCGTGAGTAAGCGTATCATTGCAGCCCTAATTTCAATATTGTTAGACATTATCTGAATGCCATTTAAAGTCTACTTGACTGAAAAGACCAATTTTTGGACAGTTGGTTTTTTTTCTCAGATTTCTAATATCATCCATCATGTGCTAACCCAGTCAACATTAGTGATGAAGAACAAACTTACCCATTTATCTCTCTCTTCAAATATTTGTAGAAATTGATGATATGTGATACTGTTAGTATGATTCGGGTCCAGTTTTAACATTATACATTTAAACTGATTATCATCCAGATTAAATGTATATCTCTCTAAAATACGCCGAAAATCTTTCCTTGTTATATGACCAGTTCTATTCTATAATAGAAAAATAAATACATATGTAGACACCTTTGGTTGTTATGACTACTTCGTGGAATTAATACATGCGTAGGTCATTCATAACAAGCAGTAACAAACACACCATAATGACTTGTTGAAAATGAATGATGTATTAAACAAAGTTGTTCTACTGAATTCAAACTTGGTTAGAAAAATAGAGATGAGATTAAAGCAGGTATCACCTGACTATAAAACTAGCAGTTGCCATGCAAGATACACCCACATTTTGCAAGAGATAGACAGAAATCTAGCTAAAATAAAAGGGATTTTCGTACAATCAGGGGACATAATCCAGGAACTTATGGTCCGATATGCGTGAATATCAAAAGTAATCACAATCTCTGGGATATAAGCATATATTTTAAGTTTCATCAAAATTAGATCAAAATTGTAACCTCTACATGGGCCCAAAACCTTTGTATTACATACTTTTACAATACTTGCATTACAAGGAGTGGCCATTTTGTCGGGCAGTTTCGGTCTGGTTATCATGAAATTCAAACTCAACCATCATCAGGTTGTAACATTGATATATTTAAACCTTTTTTTAAAATTGGCTAAAAATTGTGACCTCTAGAGGGTCCACAGGAAGTTATGATCTGATATTCCTGAATATCGAAATGAACCAAGATCTTTCAGAGATATACCTATATTTCAAGTTTCGTCAAAATCGGATAAGAATTGTGACCTTGGCCAAAACAGGGATCAAACACAGGTCCTCTGGGTTAGCGAGCCAACATCTTACTGAGCCACCGTGGCTTTCAAAAAAAAAAAAAAATGGATTGAAAAAAGATTGATCCAGGAAACTGATCTCTTTTTCTTTATATTGTTTAACAAAATATTTTATTGATTAGGGAAAAAAAACTCATTTGCAAGAAGTTGGCATTTCGATAGCTTTGTTTAAATTGTTTTGGAGCCAGACAAACTTACAATATCAAATTCCAAGAAAGCCTGTTTGAATGATGAATAATGTGATTCAATACTTCTATAAAGTTGATTCCAAATATCATCTGATAGAACTGTTGACTGTTTCTCCATTATGGGGAAAAATCTACAAAAAAATACATACAAAACTTGTCACTCACTGATTTTCCATTACAGAAAAGGTTTTCTTAGCATTGCAATAAAAATGGATTATAATAGACAAATCTTAGTAAAAGCTCTCTCTGAGATCTTATCCATGACGTTTATTGTTCTACAGTTCTAATATACAATACATCATATATATTTACTCACTTGTAATTACGTCCTATTGGTAATGTTTGACCATTGAAAACATCTATAGGATCTTGAAACTTTTCCAAAAATATTTCCCATGCTATTCTTCCTGTACCTTTAATACCACATCTAAAAAAAACATGAAGGAAAATATGACTTACAGTTTTATAAAACCATGCATGTAACACCCAGAAGACTCATCTCAACACAATTTGTTACAATTTATAGTATAATTAAAATAGACCATACTTTCCTTTTTTTAATTTTTATGTGTAAGGTATAACAACATCTTTAATAAGTTTGTGTTTAACTGAACAGACTTAACACATTTAGCATCTCTCCCTTTTATCTAAACACTTTTCCTTTGGCAATACAGTAAAGGAGCTGTACTATCTTATGTAGAGCAGACCAACAATATATTCCAAGTTAAAAGGAGAGAGAGAGATGGGGTTTAATGACAACTCGACACAAACCAGGTCATTTCGGGACTAACATATGGTTCAATATTTCAATAATTCGCTTGTGCGTAGGGGTCTTTAGCAGTGGGAGGAAACCGGAGGACCCGGAGAAAACCCACGAGGTTGGACAGGCGACGCTACTCCTTGTCAAGTACAACCAGGGAATCAAAACCACACCAGTTGACTCAAAGACTGACCATATGATACAGCACGCACGTGCTAACCATTCAGCCATCCAACCAACCCCTCAAGTTAAAAGGAAATAAATATGTAATTTTAATTGCACTTTTAGTAAACGTTGAATTTCAGGACACCAGTTGTTTTGAGTTGTAAGGTCTCCATTAATTTATTAATTTTTTTAACATAAAAACATATTTACATTGATTTTTAAAGTAGTACAAACCTTTCCATTAATCTCATGAACAGTTGATTAGACATTGGAATAGTAAAATTAGTTAATATAGCTTTAAGATCTTCCAAACTAACAAAACCACTTAAGTTCTTATCAAATGATAAGAATGATTTCTTCAAGTTTGTATAATTTGCCCGCATCTAAAATTAAACAAATAAAATAATACAATTCAAAAATAAGAACAAAATATACACTTTTTAAAAATTACTTAGACAAAGTATGTGATTTTTTGAAATAAATAAACATAGATTGTCAAGGTAATAATAACTGCAGATTTATCACCATTTTGTCCTGTAGAGTAATTATAAGGTTTTTTTTGTCATGTCTTTATACAAACTTTATATAAAGGTGATTATTTTAAGAACTTAATTACGTACCCTTTTTCTGAATTCTTGTTCAATTTGATCAAACGTTAATCTTTTAAGCCATTGTTCATCTTGGCGAAGCTGATGTCGAATACGATTATCTGTATTATTAACACCAGACTGATGAAAACCTACTGGCCATGTTAATGCTGAAAAATAGATGTCTATATTATATTCAATGTAAATATGTTAATAAAGGAAATAGTTCCATATTCTATACACAACTGTGAAAATTTCCAAAACAGTACATGCAATACTTGAAGACTTTAATTTCACAAACTTTACAAAGATCTTAGAAACTAGGAAGTACCCTTGGACCAAAATATTTTATTTCTCCCACACAGAAACTCACCACTTTGAACTGTATTTGTTGGTAACAATCTCTCTGTAGAAGGGAAGCCTAATCTTTTTAACAATTCTTTATAATTGACATGTCCTGTATGATTTATATCATACCTCTGCCACAACCTAAATTATAATATAACCAATATGTATGAAATAAAATACTGTAACAATATAACCAATACATATGTTATAAACTACTGTAATAATATAACCATTACATATGTAATAAACTATTGTAATAATATAACCAATAGATATGTAATAAAATATTGTAATAATATAACCACTTTAATACAATAAATACTGTTTATAGTCATAAAATCAATACTGTAATTAATTATACAGGCTTCACTCAAGTGAAAACTAACTATAATAAGGGAGACAATCCACAAAAAAAAGGAATATTTTGATTATATTTGTACTATTTCCTGACGAAAATTTGAGAACAATTTTCATTTTATCAAAAAAGCATATGCCAATTAGATAGTGGTGATTTTTCCAGCGATGTTCACATGCACATTATTATAGCAGCAATAGACCAGAGATACCATGTACTGGCATGTATCATGACACAATACTCAATCATTCTTGCGGTTTGATGATTTTTTTTCTGTTGACTATTCCTTTGCAAAAATAAAGAAATCAATTGAAAGTTTGACACCCTTGGTGAGCAGGGTTTTTAAATCTCAATCTGAAGGCAGGATTTGATATAAAATCTTTTTTTAAATTCATGTATTTATAAATACTAAGAGCAACAATTTATATACATACTTAGTATACTGTTGATCTGTTAATTTAAAACAATAGTTTTCTAGCACTTTACGTAATTCATATCTTTGAATTTTACCATCCATATTATAATCAAACAATCTCAATGCCTTTAATACAGACTGCATATTCTCACCAATCTACAAATAAAACAATAGCAATAATTTAATTATAAGAGATTTTGTTTTTTTTATAAACAATATTTTTATTCAGGATGTCTGAATGAGATTAGGGAACAGGCTTAGCCTATGTAAAACCCCTCTCCCTAATTATAAGAGATTCTACAATAGACAGTGCTGTACATAATCTGCTCAGTGCCACAGACAAAAAAATAAGCGAGACAATACAAAATGTGAAAATCCTTTACAACAACAAAAGAAAAAAACACCAATAATTAATGGTAAGATAAATATATAACACTGATTTTTAATAAATAGGTGAATTTAGGGCTGTTCTGAACATGATCTAAAATCAACTAAATTTCTTTCATTTTGAAAGTTCTAATAACTCATAACTTTTAGGGTTAATATACATTAACTTTTAAAAAATATTTTACTAGTTATCCATAAATAATAATTAATAACCGGTGCCATAAATAACTTACTTTTTCTTTCAGTAGTTTTTCTAGATTTTCTACATTTACTTCTTTTAACTGTTGTATTTGGTTATTATTTCTAAAAGTACAATATAATATTTAATACATTGCAAATTGTCAACAATATAATCTAAATAAACAATAAAAACTGTAATCTATTAAATAATTATCAAACCTTATTACAGCAACTTGTTCTGTTTTTTCTTGTGAACTTCTCACGGATCCTCCTGCAAACTTTTCTAAAAAGTCAGCATATAGAACAAAACCATTAGGAGCCTTTTCAACCTTAAAGGTAATGAGATAAATAAATGTAGAATTTACAGTTTACTGATATAATATCTAATTTATAAGATATTTACCAGCTAAATTGAAAACATCAATGGAATTTTGATGGGACCACTAAATTATTAATCTCAGCCCATGGCAGTAGAAATATGGCACTATAATATGGTTTTCGCTTGCCATGTGCTAGTAGACACAAGTTAATGTAAATAATTGTGATAACATATATCATAGATTTTTAAAATTAATTGTTAATAATACCTTTGAGACAAGTGATTCAAACTGATTTGTTGTCATAGGGAAACAATATGATGATAAAACTCTGCGAAACTCATCTTTAGATATGGAATGTTTTCTATTAGTATCACATACCTTGAAAGCCTACAAAGATAAGATATTCATTTAAATAAACAGGTAAATACAGGTAGATGGAATGAAATACAGTTAACAGATTTTGCTGCTCTATTTATATTAATGTAAATTATACTATCAAAATTTACAAGAATCATTCGTAAAAGCACTCATCTCTGCAATTAAACATCTATATTGCCAAGTCTAAAGTATTAACAAAGTTCACCGTAAATAAAATACAGTAAATACCTACATTTTTAATACCTTCATAATTATGTCTCAATTTTTCCCGAATTAAGGCTTCAACTTCAATCTTTGAAAATCCCGGCCTACCTGAATTGAGGCCTCTATCAATACGACCTACAAATATTTAAAAAGTTTTTTTATCAACTAAATAAATATACTCTTCAAAAAAAGAAACGCATAGTAACATTTCGTCGTCGGTATACCCTTGCTTTACAATCATCTCGTTACAACAGGAAACACGACTCGTCGCTGTCCTGAACCAAACTGTTCTCCAGCATTGCTGTGGCCATACCCTGTGTGTCTGAACCCATTAAAGTCAGATTTGACGGTGTCAGTCTATTTCAAAACAACAGCTCTAACGGGATGTCTGCCTCGTAATACGGTTTCATGTAGGCGTCTATGGACTGTCTAGTGTGAGATCCTACACCGTCCAGGAATTGCTGCTGCAGTAGAGGTTGCTGTTGTGAACCGTTTCCACAAATAACATAACCGGATGTGACGATCCAGGGAAAGTGGGGTCACTCTTGTTTCGCCTGAGCTTGGGCAGTCACTTGTTGATCTTTGCTGTCGGTACCTATCCCAAAGGCGAGAAATGGTACTCTGGGAAACATTCAGCAGTTTGGCTACATCTGTCTGATATTTAACTGCTTGTAACCTAACCAACCGATAGTGTTATTGTGTTGGTCTTCGTTCAGATGTGGCATCACTTGACTCGTTGAGTGTTTACATGTGCAACTGATTTTGAAACCGAGAACCCCAGGATTTTAAAGGCCTTAGATATGGGTTTCATGCAAAAAGATTGCAAAGTTGTTAAACTCATGTGCCTTGGTGCAATCAAGCGAAAACAAATTTCGGCAAAAAGTATGACAAGTCACAATTAGGGACCCTACATTTAAAACCAATAATGAATTTCTTTAGTTTTATCCTTACAAAGTGACATTAAAAACAAGTAAGATTTATGGAAGCATGAAAATGTGGGCATATAAAAACATTACCGTAATAGAAATATGTCAGGTTTGTGAATATGTAGATGAGACAGGATGTATTTACACAGAGCCGGTGCCAGATTATTTTGCAAACCCAGAAAAGGGAAGTTACTTGAATGCCCCTTACCCCTCTGAGGACTACACTACCCACTAGGTGGTAGATCTTTAATGTAAGCGATTGTCATCCTATCAGTAATTCACTGTTTAAATTTGAATGATGAGCTTATTACATAGTTGCTGACTTTTCATCACAAATATATTTAGAATACATGTTTTAATACAACTTAATTTTTCAACATACCTATGCCAGCAAAATAATTTTTGTTTTTATATATTTGTGTTTTAAATATCATATCCGTTTATTTAAAACAAGCGGTTGCCATGCAAGATACGACCACATTTTACAAGAGATAGACAGTGAACGAGCTAAAAAAAAAAGTTATTTTTTGTAATCAAGGGCCATAATTCAGGAAGTTATGATCCAATATGTGCGAAAATCGACAGGAACCCAGATCTTTTGGTTATGAATATGTATTTCAAGTCCATCAAAATTGTGAGCTCTAGAGGATCCACAACCTTGATATACCATATTTTTACACTGTTTGTGTACGAGGGACGACAATTTTGGTCAGATTTTCACGAAATTCAAACTCAACCAAAATTAGGGTGTAACGGTGATATATTCGAACACTTTTTAAAATCGGATAATAATTGTGACCTCTAGAGGAACCACAGGCTAAAAACGTGATTTTTCGTACAATCAGGGGCCATAATTCAGGAAGTTACGATCCGATATGCGTGAATATCAAAAGGAACCAAGGTCTTTGGGTTATAAACATGCATTGTAAGTTTCATCAAAATCAGATAAATTGTGACCTCTAGTGTGTCCACAAGCTAAAAACGTGATCTTTCGTACAATCAGGGGCCATAATCCATGAAGTTTCATTTCGATACATGCCAATATCGAAAGGAAACGAGATTTTTTGGAGATAAAACCCTATTTAAAGTTTCATCAAAATTGGATAAGAAGTGTGACCTGTGTCACGGACAGGGGCAACGACAATATACGTCCACATGAAAATGTGGGCGTATAAAAATATTAATCAAAGGAAACTGTGTGGCACACACATTCAACATGAATCAAGCATATTTATTAACTTAAACAATGGAATAAATTAACATTTACCAATTGCAAGGCAGACTAAAGAAAACATACAGATTTGCATTCCAAAAATAAGATATTTTTTTAAAGATCACAGTTAAACATTTTTGTGTTTCAACCAAGTAATAATGAAAACAGTGAAATAACAACAATGTAGATTGTTTCATACATACCATACCAGTATGCCAAAACCTTGTAAGAGAAGAAATCAAAGTAATAAACTGATCAAAGATAGTTTTTTTTCTTCTTCCCTTCCCAATATACGGATAATAAGGAAAGCATGTTGATGAAATTTCCCAATAAAGCTCATCTCATATAAAGCCAGACATGTGACACAAATGAGCATGATGGACATGATATTTATATCTAAAAAAAATTTAATTCAATTTAGTCACACTCGATATAAATTTCATTTATATACCTATGTAAGATCTTGCAGTTGGTGGTTGTGAATGTGAGACATTTGGTCTTGAATGTTGTCTGGCTGACATGGGAACATGTAACATAGGTTGACTCTGATTCACCAGTGCCATTCTTTTATCGGGTTTCATCAATAAAAGCTAAGTTTTTTCTATGTACAATATGATCTGAAATTTAAAGAGGTATGTATTATCATTGTTTTTTTGAATTACAAAACAAATGTAAAATTCTATATTCAAAATAACCTTTAGACATTCATTTTTAGCAAATAAAAGAATAGGAACCTGATACGAAGATTTTCTTATTTAAAATAAGGATGTGCCATTGGCATTTTTCGCTAGTGAAATATCAAATTTCTCACAGCTAAATACATGGTATTCTTATGTACTCACCGGCAGGCTTATTGCATACCGAGCAGCATAGATCGAAATTTCAATTCCACATATCTTTATAAATACTGAAAGGAATTGATTAAACCATTAGCAGATTGATATTTCTATTAGAAATTCATTTTCACAATACTGTAGTTTGCAAGTGATTCCTATTGTTTAAAACGGTGCATCAGGGGATTAAAGATAAATGAAAATACTTATTTTTCAACTTAGTTGAGTTGATATTCAGAGGATGAATTTTGGCTAAAGGTAAATATTTTAAAAACTTGTTCATTTATGGAAATCATGCAACCCTCATAATCAATGATTTTTTTAAAATTTCAATAAATGTTATAATATTCCCTTGTCAGCAAGGTATTGATGGTATAGAGAGAGAGAGAAATGGGGTTTAACGTCCACTCGACACAAACTAGGTCATTTCGGGACTAACATATAGTTTAATTTTATTTACATAATTCGCTTGCGTGTAGGGGTCTTTAGCAGTGGGAGGAAACCGGAGGACCCGGAGAAAACCCACGAGGTTGGACAGGCGACCCTACTCCTTGCCACGTACAACCGGGGATTCAAAACCACGCCAGTCGACTCAATGACAGACTTTATGATACAGCGCGCGAACGCTAACCATTCAGCCATCCAACCCCCCCTATTGATGGTATAAAAAGATACACCAAGTTTCCTCACTGTCATTTAATTTGAACTAAAGTTATCGCGTCCCAAAGCATCAACCAAGCAAATTGCTTATCTCTGCTTAACCTAAGCAGAAAATTCTCATCTTCTAACTCCATCATGGCATTCACCTAAAAACCATCTACGCCAAGTGTGAACATTCTAGCTAAATTAGAATGAGAGTTATTGTGTTCCAAAGTTTCGACCAATCAAACTGCTTATCGCTCTGCTTACCCTGAGCAGAAAATGTTCATTAACAAACTTAGTCACGGTATTGATGTAATAAAACTATACACCAAATTTCATCACTCACTTAATTAGGACTAAAGTTATTGTGTCCCAAAGCATCAACCAATCAAATTGCTTATCTCTGCTTACCCTGAGCAGATAATGGTCATCTTCGAATTCCATCAAGTCATTGACACCAAGTTTAAACATTCTTGACCAATTAGAAGAAGAGTTATTGTGTCACAAAAAGTGTGACGGACAGGAGGACAAACCCATTTTAATAGTCCCCTGCTTTCTTCAAAAGGCGGGGAACAAAATAGATCAATGTTTTTAATCTATAAAATTTATTTTGAGTTCACCTATTTGCAAAATTTGACTTTTAAGTTTTACATTAACAGCGATATTTATAGATGACTGCAATTAAATCTTAATTTTTGATCATGTCAGTCAGGCAGTAGTACGATTGCTTCAATTTTTTTCAATAGCTTTCTCACCGTAAGCTTTACATAATTCTGGTTGCCTGAAATGCATGTTTTGAAAAGTATTCAATTAAACTGGAGTTTCGTACAATTTGCAGCTAAATTTGCAAATGAGTTATAGTACTATAAGAAGATTGGTTGAATGAGAGTTTAGTATAGCTATACAATTGTAAAATCGCAGGCCAGGTGCTATAAAGTATACTCCAAAACGGTAGTGATCAAAATCTGCAGCTCAATAATGCCATATATCTCTAGTCTCCATATAGTCATGTTGAGTAGGCCCTAACATACATTGCATGGATTTCTATCTGGAGGTACTACATTATGTTGGCTAAATCAAAGTATGTTTTACATCAGTATTCAAATTTCAGCATGCCATGGTCATGGATGGACTGCCCAGTTTGAGCTACTCTAGTTCGTGTACTCTGTACCAACAACTCAAGATTAAAATATGATCATAATCTTGAAAATGTGGTTGTATGTAGGTCTATTGGAATTTATATTTGTAGGTATGGTTTATTAGCTCTTTGATAATTTGCACATTGTTGTTTAAATTATGATTTAGTTAGACCAGACAGTTATGTACTGTGACACCATAAATTTCTTGAATTGAAAGTAAAAAAAGGTTAATCCAACAAGTTAGATGTTACTCTTTGATATTCTGAGGACGTAACATCTAACATCCGAATGGTCAAAAGCTTGTCGCAAAAGTTGATAACTAGTTTACTTCTTTCAGCGGACGGCAAAATTCACAATTTTCAGTTATCTGCACTGCTAACACATTAAACTTACATATCATATCCATCTATGTTCCGAAAAATATTTTTTGCTGTCTATTTTAAGGGATTTCACAAAAATCTTCGCCTACAAGCAACAAAACACGGTGAAACAGGAAATGACTTACATTGGCGAAAGTTGAATTCTGGCATGGTGCACATTACGAACGGAATTCTTTAAACGAAACGAAATCATGAGACAATAATTTGAAGGCGATCATCGGTTTCGTTATTCTGTAGCCTAATTGGCCAATGAGTGGCTTATCAGAAGAAATTTTATCGATATTTGCCTAGCTGATATCTGTTCAAAATGACTCGGCAGCCAATAAATCTTTTCATAAAATATTATTCAAATTGTGAACAAAGCATTCTCCTAGTCTCTTACTTAAAATGGCACTCGGCCCTTTTATTTTAGTTGCCGTGTGTGTGATACAAGACTCAATGCTTTATTATAGATATTTTCAACTCTATAGATAGAAAAAGCGGGAAAATGTCACGTGACATTGACAAGACAGAAGCTATCATAATCAACCGGTAGCGATGACACATTTTACGAACGCCGACAAATTTAAAGATACATTGTGGGAGATAAGATAAAGAGATGGCAGTTCTCGCTATAATAGTTAAAAACTAGATAGTGTAAAGGTAATTTGCTGAAAATTTCAGTCAAATTGATCCGCTATAGCCAAGAAAGAAGCGGGTGAAATTTTTGCATAGTCTCGGTCATCATTACTAAAATCATTAATATAAACAGCATAGTCTCGATTATCCACTTTTATTGATTTAATTATCAATAGCCGTTAGCGGCATATAGGAATGTAATCCAGCCAACATCGAAGTCTAGCCTTGACATCGAGAGTTTATTATGGTCTGGATAAGTTAATTAATGTCTAATTGATAATTTAGATAACATTTCAGGCCTAAAGAAAGACTTGTAATAAGCAGATTTTGCTCTTGCATAATGCATGTTTAAGAATTTATATTGTAATGAACATTTAATAACATTTTATAAATAATAATCTCAATCATACTGCCTATGCTAGAATTTACCTAGGCATAACGGCAAAACTGTCGTAAAAAGTAAAAGCTGAAGCAAACACAGACTGCCACGGTAATAAAAATAGCCCAAATTGCGCCGTTGTCCATGTGTACACGTATCAAAAAGTTATGCCTTTTATATACATGTAGACATATGAAATGCATAGGTAATAACTTTTCAATATATCATACAGTCGTTCAGGGGCGGCTGGGCTTGGGATTAGGTCAATAATTCAGAAAGGCAAGATTTAGTTGTAAATAGTGTCCCAAGCCTACCCTTATAGTTCATTTTTTCATAAGAATGCTCACTTTCTAAAATAGTGCCCTTATTATAGAAGGTTATGGCAGAGCCATGGGAAATTTGATGAATCAATTTTAGTTATGGTTGATATGATGGCAACCATTGGGAACACGAATAACTAAAGGATCGTAAGGAAAACAAATTTCGATGACTTTATTACTCCAAGTGGAATCTGTAAATTTTATACTTATGACGGTACCATCAACACAATAAGAACTAGATTAATTAACACGGAAATTCATTGCACGGGCCGTTTGTCTATCTCCAAATATAAAAACTGCACATTCAGTGACGGAAAATGACAACAGTATATTTGTTAAATATGAAGAAAAGCAGCCGTGCCTTGTCAGCTAATTTTTGCTACAGCATTTATAAATTTTTGGTGCCGTTGTAGAAGAATCCTCATTTCAAGCACTGGTCATGATCTAGGCCTACTAATACTAATTAATCATGCAACAAATAATTATTAAGTTCTCAATGGACGTTGTGTATTTTTCAACTACGTGTGAAGAGCAACCTAATTATTCTTCAACAAACATCGTCTTCTATCTATCCCGATATAAAACCTCTACAAAAACAGTACATGCGCAATCCATATATATTAAAAATATTGTACAAAAATGCATTTCGTTCCGCGTAAAACAGGGATTCTCAAATTTTAATGCAGAGGATATGGCGTCAAAAAAAGGTCAAACTATCCCAACATGAACATGGCAACTGAAAAAATTGCTGGTGTATGTGTATGTGATATTGGATAAACCTGTTTCACTGAACAACGTTTGTTTGTCAGTAAGTGTCATTGTTGTTCAGTCGAGATGGATCACACAATATATGGTACTATTGGTAGGACATGCATTTAGAATTTATCGACTGACGCCTTTCAGCTCGTGGCTATTTGATGTGCCAACAATTCAGTCGCAGTTCGCACCAAATAAGTACAGCTTCAGGAACTTTGAGGTTACGTGTGAACGAAACATCAAGCCTCAAGGCACTCGACTCTGGAAGTGGAGTAAAAAAAGGTCAGTTTTGCTTACGCATAAAAGCTAAAAAGGGACGGAGCAGTGAATATAAGTTGTATTAAAGTATAGTAAAGACAAATTAACAAACCAATTAGTTCATCAACCAGTTACGTAATTTGAGTGCGCTTAAATGGTTATAATTTCGAAAATTCTAAAAAATAAAATCCATGTCGTTAAGAGAAGCTACCATGTTGCTAGACAAAGCGCCACCTATCTTTATTAAGAGTGATTTTCCCCTGGCGTAGTCTTGGCTATTTCGGCAAACTCTTTCATAGCGGTAATGCGAAAGCCTTCTTTTACTTTTCAAGAATAGATGACTGACCTTTAAGTTCACGTGCATTATACGTCTACGTGTGATGTCACATCATGCGACCTCGATAGCACATACGTTGTTTACATCGGACGTACGTGGTAACACCAGGACCCTGTTTCACAAAAACTTAAATCTCCTTAGAATCGTCTTAAACTAAAATTCCACCCTAGATGCGTTTCCCAAAACGATTTTAAGCATATTAGGTCAAATCCACTAAAATAATATTGTAAGTTAAAATTGTATTTTAACTTACAATAGTGGCGTTTCACAAAACTATTTTAGGGACAATTTTAACTAAAATCTATTGTAACTTTTGGACAGCCGTCACCCTCTCCTAACTTAAAATCACGACATTAACAAACATTAATTAGAGTTACGTTGTGAAATATATTGCGACATATAGATATATTTTGAAGAATAATAATATTGCCAATGGCCCGGGTTATATAATTTAAACATAGGCCTACTATCATTCACAAAAATAATTTTCATTCAATTTCTTTTCATTGCATGGGAAATATAGCTGCGGCCCACTCGTTTATTTTATTGTAAGGCAATATAAGATGACGCCCCAAATTAAAACCCCAAGAACAAAAAAAACCCCTCAAAACCCCAGTAAACAAAACTCTTTGTTACTATTTTATATATTACCATATGATTCAAGTATAAATTATACTATTTTCAAATAATTAATAGACCAAAAAAAAAAACACCTAAAAAAAAAAATCTAAACCCACTTATGGGGCGCCGTTTGTAAAATAATTATTTAATTTTTTTTATAGCAAAAAACATTAGATTTAACTCCGAATATATATATTTAGATAAATATTAGAACAAAAATTGCATATATGTAAATATAAAAAAATATTGTAGCTAAAAGTCGAGTTTTTGGTCTATGAAAAACTTTAAATGTTATATCTTGATTTCACATCGCTTAGTTAAATATATAGCTAAAGGTGCTGTTTTTCGTAGGTATAAATGCTAAATACTAAATCACTGAAAAATCTAAAGTTAAATATTTAGCTAAATATATAAACATTTAGCTAAATATATATATTTAGTTAAATATATAAACATTTAACTAAATATATAAACATTTAACTAAATATATATATTTAGTTAAATATATAAATTTAGTTAAATATATAAACAGTTAACTAAATATATAAATATCATGCTAAATATATATGTTTAGCTAAATGTATAAATATTTAACTAAATATATATTTGTGGTCCCGCCAATATTTTCTATTATCGTAAGCGACACAAAAAACTGCGCATAAAATGAAGACGTGTACCCGACACGTGAGCCTTGGCCTATTAGCAATTAGAAATGGAAGCTGACCACGAACAATAGTTATTTTACAAACGGCGTGGTACGGTTGCTCTTTGTAAATTTAACTATATGTTTAGCTAAATATATAATTATTTAGCTAAATATATAATTATTTAGCTAAATATATAATTATTTAGCTAAATATATAATTATTTAGCTAAATATATAATTATTTAGCTAAATATATAATTATTTAGCTAAATATATATAAATGTTTAACTAAATATATAAATGTTTAACTAAATATTTTAACATTTAACTAAATATATATTTAGCTAAATGTTTAAACATTTAACTAAATATTTAGCTAAATATTTATATATCATCAAATCTCTTGTTTTGGTCTTAAGTTTAAATATTAAAAGTGAAAAATTTGCACAAAAGTCGAGATTTAACTATATATATAAATTTAAATTAAATCTAGTGTTTTTTGCTTTATAAAAAGCTAAATAATTAATTTACAAACGGCGCCCCATACCCACTTCATATCTAATGTCTATAAAAAAAACATCTTTGTAGGCCTACAAATTGTAGGCGTAGTAGTGGGGGGAAACCGGAGGAACCGCACGGGCGACCCTACTCCCTGTCACGTAGGCCTACAACTGGGGAATCGAAACCCTGACAGTCCTATAATACTAGATATTATACGCCATATGCAAAGTATTAATTATGGTTTTGGGGTTATGATGATTTATATAGGAGCAGGAGCCAAGGGTATTTTATATTGTGAAAAAATCATTTTAATTTAATCAGATAGATAAGGAGTAGGCACTTTGGCTTTTTCAAATTATTATTGAAAGGGTCCATGGGACTGACAATATTTCAAATCTTGGCATCGGGACATTGGTTATTTCGTGTATTAGTTTAAAAGTTATTAAATACTTTTAAAATTCGACAATACACCATTCTGCCCGGACCAGTTTACGTTACTACGACCATGGACCGCACTCGGCAAACCTCGGGAGATTCCGTTTCTCTACATCTAGCCACGGCTGTATGATGAGGTCCGCCATTGGAACTACTTTCAAGTTCCCGGATTTACCAACGGCGTTGCCCAATACGACGCCTTTGAAAAATGGTTTATTATACAAATAATCTGTTTTTCTTTCAAATTTATCCGATTTTCTTCAAACAAGGACAACTTTGCACTGAAAATTCTAAACACGCTTCGAACGATGCAATTTTGATAACTTCTTTTTAAAAGCGGCAAGTTTTCCTAATAGTAAACCGGTGTCGCATCGCAATTGTATAGGCGTAGGTACATATCACTTACCGTCATACCGCGTAATGAGCCAGAAATATTAACTTTTTTCCTCCGACAAATTAAATTCTAAAACATTTTTTTATGTACATGTATTAGAAAAATAAATAAAGACGTGTGACGTATTTGTAGGTAAAAATTATTTCCTATTTAGTGTAAATGGGTATTAAAATGAGTAAAAGACTCCATTCTGCCCGAACTAGGACGTGTTATGTAAATAATGCACGCGCCATTGAGTCAATGATTGACGCCGCGTGATGAGAGTCACTTGGTGAAGGTAGTCATCTTTTACAGAGATTTTAGAAGACTTTAGTAATCCTCTGTGAAACAGATTGGTACCCTACATCTAGATGTAGAGTAACGGAATCTGCCGAGGTTTGCCGAGTGGTTTGTGCATTTCGGTCTCCCACAAAATGGCGGGCTTTTGACGTAGTGTATGCAGAGTGACGTCCCCTTTTGAAGGCTAGAGACAATAGCAATCACGTCATTGGACAATAGGATAGGTTGTTATTATTGTCCCACTAGTACAAGTTTCAAGACACTCCAGGAGTCCACCAGGTTAAGTGAGAATTAATAATTTTGTAAAGTCGGTAGATCTATACTGTTGGCCAATTGACTCATGCATTTGGTGTTGGTGTTTTGCATGCTGCAGAGTAGGCTAGCCTAATGCCAATCTGAACGACAGACTCACCCTACCTGCAGAGAAGAAAAAAAGCCAGCTACCATTTAATTTTCGTACGTTAGTTACGTACGGCCTAATGCTTATTATATTATAGTATAGTATTAGTATAGGTAGGCTAGTGTACTTCCAGTTTCAGCCACCACAGTAGTCAGTAGTATCATTTGACTCATTTGAGACAAAAAATAAATAAATAATAAAAAAAAGTGCTGGAATGATTTTTTTTATCATTGTAATAATAATAAATAAATGTGTCTTGAGAAAAGAAACACAATGGCACCAACATAATACTAATACGGCCTAGTTAAAATCGGTCAAGAAATAAAAAAAAGTTAATAGTAGTATTAGCAATTTTGAATTTTAGTCTTTGAAACTTGAAAGTCGGCATAATTTGATAATTTGTCCTGTTGTCTTTAAAGCTTTTAAATAGAATACAATAAATTCCTTATTTCTTAACATAACCGTATGAAATTTTCAATGGAAAGAGGGATGTGTTATCATTTCACAACTTTCACTAATTCCAGTGATTATTTTTTTAAAATTAATTAGCAATTGTCAATTAGTTCATAGGCCTAGTTGATTAAAACCCAATAAAGGGGCATGGTCACCCAAAAACGCAATTTTGGAAAACGTGTGTGTCTAATTGATCGAGAGGTCTGAAATTTTCAGAAAACCTTTATAAATATAATTATAGTTTATAGTGGTGTATTATTATAATTTCTGTAATAATATGATGATTGGACTATTTGGTTACGTACCATGGAAACAAATTTTGTTTATTTCTCATACTAGCTAGCGTGACTACAATATTGTTCTACGTAAGTTATGTACCAATTTGAATGAAATTTGCCATAATAACTGATAAAAGCCAGGTCTCCTCAATAGGAAACTTTCATTATCATATGTATAATGTAGATTAGAGTAGAAGCACAGAAAACAGCCATCTGATTAAAACACAGATCATATTTTGTTCATGTTGTGTAGGCCATCCAAAGTATTGTAAAAAACAAAAAAAACGAATCGAAATATAGATCTGAATTTTAATCAGATTGAGAAAACAAGTGACACATTCTCATGAAATTTTTTTTGTATAATATTAATAAGGAGTTTGGTTTTTTAGACAGCGTTCAACGTGGCAACTACACATCCAGTCTTCAGAAATTACAGAAATATTGCTTTCAAATAAATTACCACCATGATTTGAATGGTGCCAATTTACCATTTTAGCGCTTAACAACTACTCCAGGTATCATGCACCAGTTTAGAAATTAGATAACTTTTGGCCGACTGGTTCTGGTAACTATTACACTAAATATTTTCATTGTTTTCAAGACTTTGCGAGAGAGTTCCATTTAACGAGAATAACATCCACCAATTTAGTCTATACACTATATGAGATTTTAAAACATGGCTCACATACGTTGGCCGACTGGTTCTGGTGACTATTACCAATTGATGGTCTTAAACACGGACCCTCGATTCGGGCTCGAATGAAGGCATATACATCCAAAGATTAGGGATTAGATAAATAGATGGCAGTTCTCATATCACTATAAAATTTAAAAACTAGATAATGTAAAGGGAAGCTGAAAATTGATCCACTCTGAACCTAGACT